TCTTAGGAGGACCTAAAGGAGTGCTTTCTGTGTCTGAAGTCGGATGCGAAGCGTTGCTTTCCTCTTTTCTTGGACGACCAGGGCCTCTTCTTGCCTGGTTCTGTGTGATAAGGCTCGGATGAACGGAGTCGCTGCTTGGGCGACGTGACAATCCTACTTCTAAACTCCTCATCGATTTTGAAGGACTCCTCTTCCGTGATGGTGAAGATCGATCACGGGTAGTCCTTACTGGCCTTCTAGAATCGCGGCCGCGATCAGAGTCTCGATGAAGTTTGGGGGAGCGAGATTTGGAGGGCGAAGTTTTGACTGGCTTCAAATATGCGTTGAAAGCATCTTTGAGTGTTTCAACGACTGATTCATAGTTGGGACTGCCCCTCTCTCTTTCCTGGGCATGTTCATAGTAAGTCTTATCCTTCAAGCGCCTGGTCGGGTCGAAGTCTCCTGAAAGCAAGCACTTAACCACGTCAATATGGCCTTTATGAATAGCACAAAGCATTGGTGTGGACCATCGAAATTCTACGCCTCTTAAAGGCTCAGGATCGCAGTCATAATTACCCAGGCCAAGTAGTAGGTCGACAGCAAATTTATCGCCAGCTTTTGCTGCGATCAGAAGAGATGTTGGATCCTTCCCCTTCTTTTGATTGACGTCTAGCCAGTTATAGATGTTTGGGTGGTCGCCGTTTCGACATGCTTCTCGAAGCATTTCAGCATTATTGTGGTCTCGATATAAATCTCGGTGTGTAGTTCTATACGATCGTGCTCGCAGGCCGTTCGATGTACCAGGATGCTCAGAGGTAGGGCTATGATGAGGACTATTTCTTGAATAGGATTCATGATCTGCATTTTCTCCCGTCGTTTGTTCGCCCAGGACAGTATCTTCATGGTACTTAGACTTGGCATCTTCAATAAGCTGCTGCATCTCTTTCCTCGTTTTCCTGGTATTTTCCTCGTCCTCAGAAACACTAACATAAGCTGCTGCTAGATCACTAGGCTCGTCACCTCCAGCCTTCTTTGCCTTACGTGGGTCGGCACCATACTCTAAAAGGAGTCTCACAACTTCAACATGACCATTGTCAATGGCATCATGAAGTGGTGTGTCGCCAAGGTCATTGACTACATCAACATTACAATCCTTGCTTAAGAGGAATTCGACAATTTTATCGTAGCCTACAAGACTTGCGCCATGTAGTGGCGTATTCAACGCATTGTCTGCTTGATTTAGGTCTTCAGGGTGCTTGTTGAATTCCTCCATCACTCCTGCGAGATTGTTCTTACGAACAAACTGGAATAACATGGTTGCGCCAGAACTATCGAGGTGTTTCTTCTTCTTTTGGGGGACAGTGACTGGCGTAGCAAGATCTCTGATGGTAGAAGCTGTGCGTTGCCGGGGTCGAGAGCTACGAGGGTGTGAGCGCCCGCTAGCAGAAGAGTCATCAGATTGGTACTCGGTAGATAGAAGAGGAGGCGGTATTCGTCCTTTACGGTGGCCTGAATTGTGGATCGACTTCGAGGGAAACTGAGTAGAGTGACCGCGTTTGTGAGAACGTCCGTGGTGGGGAGACTCTGATCGTTCCTTCCTGACACCTAAAGTATCCTCCATGCTAATGTTCAGTGAGGGGATGTTTCCTTTCCTTTGCATATTATTCAAGGCAGAATTTCGAAGTCGCTCTAATTTCCGATCTTCCTGGTCGACATGATCTTCGTCTGAGTCCGATGGGTTCTGTTTATTCCGCGGAAAAGCTCTTTCAACAGGTGTAGCCTTTTCGACGCTGTCTAAATTCGATAATGGTGGCGACGATGGTTCGTCAGATCTCAATTCTGGCGCAGTAGATTTTGGAAGAGATGAATGCCGTTTGTTTTGTAGATTGGATAATCTCCCATTGCCAGACTGAGATTTACTTGGCTCAGAAGGATCGATCTTAAGACGCTTGCGCCTTCCTAGATGATTTTCGTTATGAGAAAGTACTTCCAGGGATAACGTTTCGCGTTTCCTAGACTCGGACGGCTTTCGAATATCTTCCTCATCACTATTGTCCTCATGCTTGATCGATTTTCGAGTTTTGGAGGGTGAGTGGCCATTTTTGCCTTCCAGGACGATTGTTTCTGCTTCTGAATCACTCTTCACATCGACATCCTCAGGGGGTGCATCGGGCATATCCACATCCCTCGAAGTCTCGGAATCAGTCACAGTCTCTTGTCTGCCGGAAAGCGTCGGACTTTTGATGATATTTGTGGCGTTGTTGACTTTGTCTTCTCGATCAATAAGGCTGGTGGTCGAGTCACCATGTTTTGTGGCCGCTCCCTCACGATTGTGAGTGCCCATAACATCTAGACTATGTTTCGCTGTATCCTGCGGATCATCCTGGCTTATATTATGAGTAGACACTTTGATTGTGAATGGTTTTCGGGACAAGGAGGAGCATCCGAGTCCTTCAAACTGATAGATATATTAGTTAGATGCGCCGGTTGAATTGGTTTGTTGCAGTTGGAAACCCGAATGGCGAACGGATTATATCATTAAATTCGTAATGTAATCGTGGATCGTGAAAATCTTGAATTGGAAGTAAGTGAGAAAGTATGTGTACGGATAAGTGTAAATTTTGAGGATTGGTTGGAGAAGAATTGTACCCAAGGAGCTAAGTAGTATTTGGGTGTGGTTTTGTTAAATGGGAGGAATCGAGTTACCAGATAGAATTGAATTACTTCCACTTACGCTTAGTCAGGAGAAGCGCTAGACTAGGTATACGGAATACGGAACCCCACTCAGGCACTAAGCACAAAACACTGAATAAGGAACTTTCATGAACGAGCTTGTCCTGTCTTATCCTGCCTCTTCTGTCCGTCCTGTCTATCGTGTCTATCATAGGACAATACGCATTGTCCTAAATTGTTCCATGACAACTGGACAACAATCGAACGAGGCTCGAGGCAAAACACAGCAAAACACAGCAAAACAAAGCAAAAATTACACAGGTCGCTATACTCGATTCATGAATGGCTACCTACCGCGGTATGGATGTATGGATGCATGGCTGGATGGATGGTAAATAGCCAGCCATACACTTGACACTTGTTCCTCAAATCCCCTTTTCAATGCGTAAGGTACGAGGTAGGGAGATAACTCATCATACCCACCGTCTCCATCTCGAATCCAGAATCATACAGCACACGAGAGAAAGAGAAAAGGATCTGTGTACGGCGAAGCTTACAGAACAATTACCTTTGCAACAAATCTGCCGGTGCGGAGTAGAGGGATCTATTTATATCATACAGGATGTTGCCACAGAGGCTACTTTCGCTTCAGATAGGTGAACGTAGACGTGAACTTAGATTGACAGTACTGAAGTCTACTGAAGTACAATTGAGGTCTAATTCAAACTACAGTATCATCGCAATCTTATCTACAAAGGACTCCTCCGTACAGTACAATGTAGAGAAAGAAGGCCTATGCCATTATTCCAACCAAACAAAGGAGTACAACGCATCAACTGACCTACTTTTCTTTTTTTCTTAGCTTGTATCAGATCATCCCGAGGTCCTACCTAAACTCTTCCTAGAGAGTCCTAACTCCTAATAAGTTCTAACGAACACTTCTTCAAAACTCAAAGTGCTTGTATGGATATCACTTAGCGAGCCTAGAGCCTAGGTCGTAGATAGGAACTTGGAAGTGAGCGATAAAATCTTCGAGGATTTGGACGTCAGAAAGTCTACCGTATTCGCCTTTACGTACTATCTGCCTTGGCTCCTTGGCTCCTTGTTATTAGTGCTTTATTGGTGCTTTATCATTGCTTTACGTTCTGACAGTTAAAAATAAATCTATCAATGGCCCTCTTTTTTCTCTACAATCTAGACTTGGCTTCGTCAGCACGTGATCAAAGTATGATTTCTAGAAGGTGAGCACGTGAAGATAACCCGGATGGCTAGGCCGCTCGCTATCTTTCGTCATCGAGAAGATACTTCTGTGCATATTATTATTCTTTCACCCCCTCCTCTTCTCCCTTACATTCTCTTCTTGGACTCATGTCTTCACCAGGTCTTTTCTCCTTCAAAGTTCACACACATTCTCGCAATATCACCCCGAGATAGTTTAACTGTACTTCTCAAAGATACCTATTCATTTCATCCAACATGGACATTCCACAACTAGCCTTACCAACATCTCTTGATGAAGCTCAAATCAAGACGCTCCCTTCGAAAGCTTTTTATATTCCTAATTTTCTTACGGAAGAGGAAGAACAAATATTATTGCAGAAAGTAAGTCAATATTCGGCTCGTTCATTATTACCCGCTCGAGATTTGATATTTGACATTTCGATTTCCGCAGATTGCCACAGCTCCAAAACCACGTTGGAAGCATCTAACGCATCGCCGTCTTCAGACTTGGCCCTCTGATTTAACCAAGAATACTCTATTGGATGCCCCTCTGCCTAAATGGCTAATAGATCCCGTTGTCTCTCGACTTCTCTCCTTACCTATCTCGCACGAAACCGGAACACGTCACATTTTTAGTGATAGTCCCCATGAGCATCCGAATCATGTCCTAATCAATGAATATCTGCCAAAGCAGGGAATTATGCCACACAAGGATGGAGCCGCGTATCATCCAGTCGTCTGCACTGTAAGCTTAGGCGCAAGCCTATGCTTGAATATCTATGGAGACAAAGATGATGGAACAAGAGAAGAGCAGCCAAGGTGGAGAATTTTCCAGGAGCCAAGGAGTCTGTTGATCACAACAGATGAACTGTATACAAATTACTATCATGGAATATCCGAGACCGAAGCAGAAATTAACCTAAATTCCACAACAGTCGCAAACTGGGACCTTTTACGGTCTAAAGATGAAATCATTGATGGTAGATACGAAAGACAGGAGCGAACTAGCCTCACCTATCGGGACGTACTCAAGGTATCGAAATTAGGTTCAAAGTTAGGGTTATTCGGCAAACGCTGAGACCCAATTTTATAATATGGTATCGACCTCCGTTTCTGCTTCCAACTATCTAAACCAAACTCTGAGGAGAGCATTTTAGTATAAATATGGTATCATTCTCCATCTACCCTTTACACTATCTACGCCGAATTTTGTGGCATACCATTTCCTTGTTGAATCTGCAGTCACTCCAAGGTTTGATATTACAAAACACAACCCTGCCAATATGGTTCTGTTCAGGAACTGTCCCTGAGGCGCGGCTGCAATGGCAATTGCAATATACAGCAAGCATTCGCTAGTGTAATGAGGGCAAACGATGTGGCGAAAGAATGGGTTTGAGGGAAGAGTATACTTCTTCAAGCTTGCCAAGTGCTTGTGGCAGTCATGCTGACAGACAGATGCAATCACAAATAGAGGTACTGCCACACAAGTCTTCAAAGAGGGCTTTGAGATGTCTATCGAACCCAGTGGATTTGTGGTCGCATCAAGTATGACTTAGGTAGTTAGTCATCAATGGAAAGAATTACAAGATTACAATTCATATCACTCACCAATGCCTTCAATCCAAACCGAAATTCCCATGAACAAATAATACGCAATTCCAATAGCCCAAAGTCCAACCCACATCTTCGACTGAGAAGGTTTAGTGAGCGTAAGACTCTCATACACTCTCCGGCTACCCTGTAGAGCCATGAGTGTCCATGCCAAAGTTACCTGATTAACTGTCATTGATTTTGTCGCATCTTGTTGAGAATACGAGGCAAGTAATCTGAAAGCAGGTCCATGTGTGATGATTTGAAACGCCCAGAAAATGGAAGAGGCCACGGAGACGATATAATAGTGGGCGAACCAAGTATGGGGAACCTGTATAGAGCCAACGTATTCGAATATACGCGTAGTCTTGCTCTGGAGGAGGGATGTGCTTTTCTCGGGATTTGGCGTGAACCCTCGACTGCCATAGTTCATGACATGCTGTCGGAATGAAGGTATCAAAGTTCCACCTAAATCAACTATGGTCCCTAAAATGAAGAAGGCTGCACAGATAGTTCGAGAATCCATAATCCTTATGACGAATCGCAATAAAGGGATTTTCTGACAAGACCTTCAAGGATCCCCGGTGAGTGAGTGGCACGTCAGTTGAATTGGATACCTTGCCAATTGGGAAATTCGAAGAATATTTGTGCCTGAGGTTTAAACTATGCGATCATAGAAATAATTTTTGATGCAGAACCCCACAATGAAATTCACATCATCTTCAATTCCAAAATTTAAGATCCAGCTTGAGGGAAATCGCAACCTATTCTTTCCGCCCAAAAACCTCCTCAGCAATACATATTTTTTTATAGATAAGGTATCTGGATCTGACCAGAAAAATCCGCAATCATGTCGACCACCGCTGATAAGGTATACTCCCTCGTCCACGACCTTTTTTTCCCAATGCTAATACCCCGCCACAGATCAAACAAATTGAGGATGAGGTATACTCCCTGCACCCGATCAGTTCGCCGTCGATAGATCCTAACGAAATGATAGATGTCCAAAACCCAAAAGAACAAGGCGACAAGTTTCCATCTTGGTCAACTTAAAGCAAAGCTCGCTAAACTCAAGAGAGAGTTGTTGACTCCTACGACAAGTGGTGGAGGAGCAGGTGTAGGGTTTGATGTAGCACGTACAGGTGTCGCCAGTGTTGGATTTATAGGATTTCCCTCAGTGGGAAAGAGTACATTGATGAGCAAACTTACCGGACAACATTCAGAGGCTGCCGCATACGAATTCACAACCTTAACGACAGTACCCGGTCAAATTTTATACAATGGAGCAAAGATCCAAATTCTGGATCTTCCCGGTATTATTCAAGGAGCCAAGGACGGAAAGGGTAGAGGTCGACAAGTCATTGCGGTTGCCAAGACATGCCATTTGATCTTCATTGTATTGGATGTCAATAAGCCCTTGACGGATAAGAAGATCATTGAAGACGAATTGGAAGGATTTGGAATTAGAATCAACAAGTCACCACCAAATATCGTGTTTAAGAAGAAGGACAAGGGCGGAATCAATATCACCAATACCGTCCCAATGACGCATATTGATCACGATGAGATCAAGGCTGTCATGAACGAGTACAAAATTTCATCCGCAGATATCGCCATTCGTTGCGACGCCACTATCGACGATCTGATAGACGTACTAGAGGCCAAGGGACGAAGTTATATTCCTGTCATTTATGCATTGAACAAAATCGATGCTATCTCGATAGAGGAACTTGATTTGCTTTACAGAATCCCTAACGCATGTCCTATCTCTTCTGAGCATGGGTGGAACGTTGATGAACTGTTAGAACAGATGTAAGTTTATGATTTGAGAACTTTTATGTGAAATTTTGCCTTGGGGCCTTTCGATAATTCAATCGAGTGGCGTGGCGTTCTGAGGCTATAGTCGACTCGCTCAAGAGAAGATGCAATGCGTTCACCAGAAGCTAGCAGATTTCCGTGGTTGCCAAAATTGCCTGACAACCTGATACTAACTCTTGAACAGGTGGGAGAAACTAAACCTGGTCAGAGTTTATACAAAGCCTAAAGGAAAATTGCCTGATTACACAGCACCAGTAGTGTTACGTTCCACGAGGTGCACAGTTGAAGATTTTGTAAGTGGCTATTTTCATGATTCCGAGAATCGCGTAGCACAGCATTAAGTGACTAACGGTGATCAAAGTGTAACGCTATCCATAAAACTATCGTGGATGATTTCCGCGTGGCTATTGTTTATGGCAAATCAGTCAAACATCAACCTCAGCGTGTGGGTCTCAGTCACGAATTAGCAGATGAAGATATCAGTAAGTTTTCACAGATGGATTAGGCAGTTGTCATGAGAATTCGAGCTAATCCATTGTGCAGTTACCATTGTCAAACGATAAAAAAGAACATGCAGAATAGAACGATACGGTGTAACGACCAAGGATCTTCCGGTGGTACGAAAAACGCGGAGAAGGACCATGGACGTTGAAGCAGCCAAGGATTTCGGAAGATAGAGGTGGGATGGGCTGATATGGTCTTAATGGTAGTGCTCGTCGGGAGTCAATGGCGTCATGTTAAGGTACAGACACTTGTGGGCATTTTGGTTACTGGACTCTGGAAGAGATAAGAGGTGGTTGCTAGCTACAGTACTAGTAGTTGCCCGTAGATTCGTACTCGCGGGTTTGCGCCCCTGCTCATCTTGGTCTGAGAAGGCTACGAAGGTCGATATGAGGAAGACGTAGATGAATATCCAAAAGAGATTTTTTACCCCTCAATATACTTGAATTGATAGGGCAGGGTTCTGAATACAGATAGTCATTGTTTTATGTTGGCATGTATACATGTGATACGATGCGCTGCTTGTGGGATTCACTCGTCAACTTTGATAGTGGCGAAACTTTTGAATGAATGGATGGATGGATGGATCAATCAATCAATCAATCAATCAATCAATCAATGGTCTTCAGGTAGGCGCTTCGAAGGTGTGATGAATGATATCTCAGGATTCCATGAGGCTGGGCCAGTTTATGCGCATGGGGGCGCTTGGATCAGATGATGAGACTTGGATTTGAATGCTCGGGTTTTGCTTGTTTGGGATGGGATGTTTGGATATTTAGGTGGATGAATAGATGGATAGATGGATGTGTGGATAGGATGATTGAGGATGGGGCGTGGTAAGTGTTTGTTTGTTGGGTGAAGTCATAAATTAGGTGAGGATGGGGCAACAGTGATGGTATGGTATGTACGGTATGGGACATTGGGGGTTGCAATGAAATGCTATGTTATCAGTTGCCCGATGGGATGGGAGAGTGATGGGGTGATTGAGTTGGAGGTCGATGAGATGCCTAGTTGATTCATGGGTGTCGGCGTTAAGGTGAGGAGGGGTTATTGTGAGTATGAGTTTGGATTGGGATTGGGATTGGAATTTGGCCGAGATGGAATGGCATGTTCCGCGGGCGAGGGATATCTTGAGTGCCTGGAATTGGGAATACTAGGTAGATATTGTATGATGTATATTACTCGTTGGAATTTGAGTCACGGGTGATAGATAGATGGAGGGATGAATGGATGAAGTATTGATTCTGCATGGTAAGTAGTTCTAATGGGTGTTGAGTCCTGGGTCTATCTCTGTAGATGCAGAAAATGATAAATTCTCTCCTCGCTCGGAGTTAGCAAAGCGTCTATCTCATGGCTGTTTTCTTTCAGTTCCCGATCCGGTGGATCAAGATTCTTTTAATCCTAGATCGCCGGGGATAGATGGATAGATAGATAGATAGATGGAGACCGGACCGTAACAGAAATCCGCGTTGGTTCGTGCAACATCATGTCATATCGCATCACATCATGTCAAAGCTAGGTACCTATCTATAATCATGGCTGCACAGACATCTTTCCTTCTTTCTTTCTTTGCTTCTTTGCTTCCTTCTTTCCTATCTATCTATTCATCCCACCCATCACCATCATCATCATCATCATCATCATCATCATCGTCATGAATCATGATATTCGCAATCTCAACTGAGCCTAGCGGTCAAACCCGGCCCTCCGTCATGTCCGTACCTGAGTCCTGACTCCTGACACCTGGTCGATCAACCTGTCCGTTCCTGAAAATTCGGCGCTTCGGGTAACCGTTTTTCGTAAGGTTGATCGCTTTCGCCTGTGCCTTTGCTTGCCTGCTTGCTTGCTTGCATACATGATTGGGATGTTTCTTCGGCGGCTACAGAGGCGTTTTAAGCGGTCGATGGACTCCGCTGTGGGAACGTTGGCTCTTTTGGGGGATTTGGCTTGCTTGGGGGATGTGATTGGTTGGAATGGATGATGGGTGGGATTGTGGTATTTAATTGATATGAAATGGAAGAATTGGGAAGAATTCGATGATCGACGCAGGCTTGGGGTTTTTTCTTTGTGGAATCGGATGATGAGATGAGGTGGACGGGATTGAAGATTAGTTCTACAGTATGCATCTATGGGGAGAAGAAAAGTTCCGATAGGAGCTCTCGAGAAGGTTTATTGAAGTGAAAATGGATGTCAATTTCGAATGGGAAAAGTTTGTAACATGATATTTCTCCAAGCCTTGATGTCGATGTTCATTGAGCCAGTCAGGTCAGTCTAGATGCTTAGGATGAGTAGAGCAGATGAGGATCATTTCCCCGCGATGTCGATAAGATTGTCTCAATTGCCGCCGACGAGAAAAAACGTGGATGAAGGTTTAGCTTTAGGTACCAGGTATATACGTAGAAAGGATGTCTTTGAGTATGTATCATGATGTATGTTTTTTACCGCTGTGAGCTAGCAAAGAGGTCTAAGCAGAGACAGGGAATAAGCTGAGGATGATTTGAAATGAAGTTGTCACCTCGTGATAGAGGATCTACAAAAGTCCCGAGGTTGAAGTTTGGATGGTGTTTCTAGGTTCCTTCACCGCTGTTGAGCAGAGAGATGTGTATGTTGCAGCCAAGACGTAGGTTTGAAAAGGGGACGTGGTCGCGTTTATTTTTGCTTTTGGTTAAACCCCCCCTCTCCCCTTCGTCGCTATGTAAGAGTTTGTTTCACATGGTGAATGCGCCACGGATGTACTGCTGTTTTTCTGTGACTTGAGTGAATCAAGAAGTTAAGAGTGTACATTCGTAAGTGATAGCGAGCGGTGCCTCACGGCCGCTTACACAAGCTGCTCTCCCTTGATGAAACGTAAAGTAAGGCTCCCTTGAGATCGTCGCTGAAGAATTTAATCAATAAGTAAATGCATGGAGAATAAAACAAAATCAAACAAAATCGGAAAGAATTATGAAAATGAATGAAGTTGCAAGGAATAATTGCAAATGGATTTGAATGAATAGTGGGCCATTAGGATTTCACCCGGAGTTTTTGACACGAAAGTGTACGGTTAGACCAATGATTAAGAACGTGGATGATGCACAAAGATGGGGAGCCCAACTTCAGATGCGAGGTTCCTCCACATTCGGGGTTTCGGTTAGGTTGATGGCACGGTTTGATATGGATAATGCAGACTGGAGGATGGATGGATTGGAATGGTGTTTGTCCGTGATGGATGGTTAATGGTTATTCATGCTTTGGGCGGGGAGCGGAACGGGAAAGAGGAGAAGCGGCACAGGTATGCCTAAAGACTTTCGACAATTACAAATCCCATCTGCTCAAAAGAGAACTTCGCGAGATATAATGCCATGGCGGAGTACGGATTCAAGGGGACGGACACACAGTGGGGTATTAAGATTTCCAAACATAAACCCCCCTGGTCGGTATGTACCGATGCAGCCGAAGCGATTGTAGCTAGGAAATCGAATTTGAAAATTTGATACGATTTCGGAGTTCGCGATCAGAGCAGATGCGAGGCGAGATGGAACGGAAATCATGGGGCGAGATGAAAGAAGACGGTCATGGCCATGGCTGTATCCTGTTACCTGTATCTGTTATGTGAGGTGGGTTACTCAGGGGCAATGCACGCTGCAAATGCAGTACATGAAATGGGTTGCACCTACGAGCGCCCTGAACTAAAGCCGAGTGAATGAAGCCTTGCCATTATGCTGAAGTGCAGGAGGTTGCTGGTGGTTGCAGCAGATATCTGTCGCTCCCAACCATACAAATATAGTACTTAGATACCAACAGTTGGAAACTTGGGACGAAAGATGAATGGTACCTACTTCCATGGCCCCCAAGATCAAGAAATGAGGCGAAGTTGTCTTGTCGAGAGGGAGCAATGCGAAACGATGAAGTCAATGCCATGCAATATCTCGATTGGGGTCCGAAACTTGGGACCAGAATAAACATAGAGTTTACTAACTTTGCTTACGGTAAGTAAGGTACGGATCTATTCATTTCTGCAACGATCCTCTTTTCCACCACGAGGGTTGGTTGTAGCTTCTACACCATGGTAACTTACGGCAACGAAACGTTCGGATTCCATGTAAGGTTCGTCTAATAAGGGTGGCTTGACCAGGTTTCGAATTTTGGCTAATATGATACATGTCAACTTTTGGTATAGAAGGGATCAGTTTGTTACTTGTTTAGGGAATAGGTGAAAGTTGCTCCGAACTTGAATACCTGAGCTCTGATTGCTGGCTGGTTTTTCCGAAATCCTTGTACCTCCGGTGCACCTGTTGCACCATCAAAATTCGTTATCAAAATGCAGAAAAGACAAACTTTGGCGAGACGAGACGATGAAGGGGCTTTTGAGATTATTTTTCTTGTTATCAATATTATTATCCGAACCGAACCCAGAGACTCAACAAAAAAGAAAATCAATTATCGTTAACTGAATCTGAGCAATAGGTAGTATTTGAAACGATATGATATGATATGATATGATAATGAATGATTTAATTGTCCTTACTGCGGCAACTAACTCGAGCTAATAAGTCATCCCCAGTACTAAGATCATTTGACGGATTTACCTCATTTTTTTACTTCCGGGGCGTACCGTTTGATTAACTTGGTTATCAGACCAGAAGCTAGAAGCAAATTCAAATATCTAGTAGGTTCATCTACACGTTTCATTCGTTAATAGCTCAATATCCTGGTTATCATCTACGATATCCAGTAAAACTTTAGACCTTGAGTAGTTTAGCCAATTCCCCATTTGACTCAGCTGAAATGAGATGCGATTTGACATTTGACCTATTTGGAAGATAATCATCTGGATATACCCTACAAAAACCTGGAAAAGCCTCAACTTCTCAATCTTTTGGAGAAAACGGATGAGAGTGGACCTTGACACGACGATATATTTTTCCTGAATAAAGCTTCAAAAAGGTCAATCCGATCGAAATTAGATACTTGTCCTCTCCACTCTTCACATTGAACTCCCTGAGGTCCCCGAATCTTCCGTTCGAAGACCTTTAGATTCTCTGTAGATATGTTTAGATGTTCGGCGATTCCTTCAGCTAGCTCTTACAATACAATCAGCAATTATTGCATTACCTGAGCTACCCGTGGACTCTTTTGAACAGATATGTACACAGATGATTAGATGATTAGATCCGCTTCTCATCTGGTGGACTTCTCTCCCAAGCAATCATTTGGTCAAAGCAACAAATCAGGTAAGTCTTCAAGTCTTACTTCGTACTTTCCCTGTACCTGAACCTTACTAAACCGTATTTAAACCCTACCAAAATCAATGATCAATTCAGATCCTTGTAATTGACTTCTTTTGAATATTTTCAAACGAATTGCTTTTCCTTTTTCCTTTGAGTTATCTGGTCTATCTTGCTGTCTGCCTGCGGTTCTTCTGAATGTCTACACCAGAGTCCATCCATCCCCCTTTCGATTCGTTCTCTTGTCCTCTCTTTTCTTTTTACTCTTGCTAATCCCATTCTCCAACTCGCCCATTCGTCGTTGCTCCATGATTGATTCCTTGCCATTGCTTTCCACACTCCCATGCTTGAGAAACTTATTAGAGGTAGTCTTTAACCTAGTATGGTAGTAAAGAAAGCAAACCTAGTATCTATTCTCCTTAGTCCGATTGGTCCCCACCATTAATATATTCAGTTCCCAAGTACTCCCTCTTCCTGCTGCTGCGGAACCTTTACCTTGCAAAATTTCCATGAACCGACCACTACTTACTACCACAAACTCCAAAAAGTCTAGGTTTACCTCCTACTCACATACTATAACGTCCCATCCATTCATCATACCTACATACATCTTTTTTGGTTGCGCGCCTTCCCCAGCATAATATCTATTGCAGCTTCTCGCATACGCCTCGTGTTTCTTCCCCTCTTCGGCATTGCAGCGAGCATTTTCTAGCATCTTTTTCCCAGCATTTATTCCTACCCTCCCTGGTCGCATAATAATAATTGTCCATCCGTCTTCTACCCCATCTACCGCGGACCACCACCACCACCACCACACTTAGAAGTACATGTTTCCTTTAGCTGCGCGCGTCTAGCATTAGTTCAAACAAATTTCAAAATATTCTCGCATTCGAAACTTCACATCACCTGAAATAAATCAGCCAGACTCAATCCGTTACTCCTGCAGATTCCGCAGGGTTTATATATTTGACGCTGCCAGGAACCATACTTCGCTTTGCTTATCATGCATGCAGTATCCCGCTCTTGAGGCTTTCAACGTCCTTGATATTGTATACCTTACGCAAGGTCCTGTACCATTAAACAACTTCAATTGCCTCGGATTTCTGGAATTTAAGGAAACACCTGGGAAATCATTCGTTTAGAGACCATAGATCAAAGAATGCACGAATCTATGATGGCCCATATTGGCATGGACCATGAGCAACACCACAATCCACAAGAAAATGGATACGGCGGTGAAGGTCAATGGCAGGATATGGGCAACAATTACAACTCTTCACAGCATCAATCACCAATCTTTGAAAATAGGATTCAATATGAATATATGAACCAGCATCATCCAATGCCCACTGAGCCTCAGTATCCAAATCCAAGAATGGCTCCGCCACCGCCGACATATCCCACACATCACCAGCAACTGCTTCCTCTCATCATGCCAAACCATCCCACGTGGCCGAGCATGTTGACAAATCCTGCAAACTCTCAAGCACCACCTGTTGCGATTCCTCCTGCGAACTCTGGGAAACTACCTCCAAAACTACCAACTATCCATGCTACTCCGACTCCAAGAAAGACGCTCACGGATAGTGATCGAAGACGGATGTGTCAATATCATGAGGATAATCCTACTGTCAAGCAGACCGAAATTGGAGGTATGGCATGACGAGACTCTTTTAATGATTTCCTTGCTAATATTTCTCTCTTAGCCATGTTTGGTGTTGAACGAAGGTATGATTGACAGTTAACAATTGGGTTTTGATCTTAACTAAAAAAGAATGCAGTACTGTCTCTAAAGTTTTACGCCAAAGAGAAAAATATCTTTTCCCTGAAGACCGAAGCTTGTCTCCAGTTAAACGAGCAAAAGGAAAGTTCCCTGATATCGAGAGAGCCTTATCGAACTGGGTGCGGAATACTCAGAAGCAGGGAATTCCTCTTACCGATGCTGCGATCAAGGAGAAGGCTAGATTTTTTGCCACCACAGTTGGCAACAACGAGAGTCACCTAAAGACAAATAGCACAAGTTGGCTAGAAAAATTCAAGCAAAAGAATGGGATCAGTCATCTCAGACGAAGAGCATCCGCAGCCGACATTGGTAGCCTTTCCGAACGTATGGCAATCAACATTGATTCGAGCAGAAGTTCTGGATCACGAACGTCTAATGGTGTCTCGCCCGCTTCGCCATTACAATCTCCCTTGCTCTTAGCATCCGCTAAGAGTAGTGAAGATCTCAGATCCCATCATATGCATGATAGTTTGAACAGCTATTTTGATTTCACCCAAACAGCAAGCTATAAGCAACACTCAAACTCTCACAGTACAGCTTCATTGTCTAGTGCATTTACCGACAACAATCCATCGACATTTTCAGGGGGGCCAACTAGTCCCACAACCCCATTTGCATTTTCTCCTGAGGGAAGTACCGGATCTTGGATGCCATCTCAGCAATCTCGGGTAACACAGCATTCGACGAACGGAAATGGAAATTCTAACACTGAAGACAATATCAACCATGGGATGGATCCGAATAATCCTGCTAGCAACTTTCAACGTCCAAGAAGCCAGACTTTCCCCACTTTAGCCATTGATCCTTCGTTCATTGCCTCGCAAGGTAATGATCCTATGACCCCAAAGTATAATTTACCGGACACAGCCCCTTCATCAGCCGTGGAATCGCCGGTACATGAATTAGGCCCTCCATTTGGATTGGATTCTGCAATTTCGCCACGGTCTTTACATCATAGCAGCAGTCATAGCTCTTTGGCTCCTCCACCGGCATCACTTACTCCAATTAGCGGATTGCAATCACCTCCGCATCTCTCAACACCAAACTCACCTACCCAGGATGACGCACGCCGGGCGCTTGATACTTTACTGAATTTTTTCCAGCAAGCTCCAACTGGATTGGTGGATCAAAATGAGTATCTGACGGTTCTTAAATTGACCGAAAAGTTGCGAATTCAACAGCAGAATCCAGGACCTTTACCAGGCGGTTTGCATCGGATCTCGGAACAGGACGATTGCGAGAATCAGCCACAAAATATGAAGATGGAACAGCCTACGGCCTGCTAACAAATAATGAGTTCCATGTCTCTTTTATATATACGCTTTAAATCTCTGTACATCATGGCATTTTAAACATACGGTTCCAAACTCGACATTCCCCGGCGTTATTTTCATCACATCTCTCAATTTGTATATGAGCTCTCCGTCTTCATCTTTTTCCTGCTATCAGTAACGGTCTTGCATCACCCTCTTCTTTTCTGATCTTTGCGATCGGTCAAAATGAAGGTGTATAATATCTACCCGCATGACCAAAATCGGGGATTTAGGAAGGAATTCAAAAAGAAAAAAAATTAGGAACTATCCTCGGATGAAATTTATATACCCAACCAAGCTCACTCGGTTTCCAAGATCTCCTCCTTTACACCTTCGACGCTCACGCGAAATCTTCAGCTCAGTACTCATCTGCTTGCTCTATCGCGCATTTAATTCTTTATATATCCTCTTTGGACTTTTTTTCCCGCGGGGATTTTGTTATATATGCGCTCTCATGCCCCTGAAGGGACTTTGCTCACCATACCCCAACAGCACGTTTTCTTTTCTCTTTCCACACACTTTCGGCGGGATTTTTGTATTGCTTTTCGTGCGCTTTTCTTTCACTCGTGTACGTACCGGGGAATTTGTGATGGAATATACATAAACATTTCGCCTTTTCGATCCGAGGTGCAGAGTTCAAATTCCTGGACATGTTTGTTTTTTTGTGGATTTCTCTCGTGCGAAATCATGAAACGAACGGCATGCACGGCTTGTTTTGCTACCTATCTACCTACCTACCTTTCACTAGTCTATTCGTTCACCTTCCTCGCTCTTTGGTAAATTCTTTGTACTTAGGGACTCTTTTTCTTCTTCTTCTTGTTGGGATCGTTCGTTCGTTTATCGTATAGTGCGTGTGTGAACTTGTAGTGAAGTTCTTCTGTAGGTGGAATGGGATAAGAAGACAGATTGGGATGGATGGTATGGGACTCGTTGATCTAATGAGATATATGTGCATGGATGGATGGATGGATGAACAAATTGTTCTCCGAGGACAGGGGAGTCGAGAATTTCTTGTTTACTTTTCGAGCTAGCATCAGACAGATCAAAAACATACATGTGGAATGAAATGGGCGGTTAATCTGCTACAATAATGGACTTTTCGAACTGCAAATCCTGATTTTGGATAACTTTCAATACGCAGGCTGTGAGCAGGAATTGTATGGTGCATAACTCAAATAATTCAGTATAAATTTTTAATATAAAAAAGCACGAATGGGTATCTAAACTTTCAACGCAACGCACACAGGCTTACAACTCAAAATATGAAAACTCAATTCAACCTCTCATCCAATAACTCCTGCACTCCTTTCTCCCCCAGCTCCGGTATTATTCTCATAATAATCATCTCCACAACTCCATATAGTAAATGTTTATTACAATACACATCACCAAAATCATTCAACACATCTTCTACTTCCCGAATATGCCTTTCTTCTTTTGACAGTTCGGTTTTCGCTTCAAGATCAATATTAATAGTGTCGGTGCTACTTCCCAAAGAGTATAAAGAAGTGCGACCAAAGTAAATATCTCTCACAGCTATTGGTATCAAACCTAATATAGCCTCTGCACACCTTCGTCGTATTTCGATTGTTTCAGTGGGTGTAGGAGGTATTCTCGCTGGTGCGAGCGTGTTATTGGGGAAGAGTGTTTGGCGAAGGGTGCGGAGAATGGGTGGTAGCAGAGTGGGGTCTAGAATGAGGGTGTGGATTTGGTGGGAGAGGAGTCTGTCATGCTTGTTAGCTTGTGCCTTTACAATTGCTGAGACATGGGATGATGTGGGCCGGCCTGTAGGAAATTATGTTGGTGCTGTATATGAAAAAGAGGAAACTTGGTGGGATGAATGGATGGGTGATTAAAAATGATAACAGATTGCAGCAAAGAATAGCACTTGATGCATCATTTCAGATAAGATGTTAAGGAATGTGTAACATCAGTGAGTTTTTTTGACAGCCAGACCATCTGAACAAGGGGTTCAAACGCACGCGGCGAATTCATCGGATGTTTTGCTCGCCTTGGGCCATGATGCAGATGGGGGCCAAGAAGCGGAGAAACGCGTAAAAATTGCAGATCTTCCAAGTTTTGCAAAAGAAGGAAGCGGCAATTGACTGGTCTGGAAGATGCTTTATGTGGGGAAGGAATCTGCGCAGCAATAATGCGAGGCATAGTAAGATTCCTATCTTCCCATTGAGCCGGGCGCTTAGGGAAGGTTATCGTAAGGCACGACTCGTTTTACGCCCCAGATTTGAAGCATCCATTGCACGAAACGTAATAACAGGGATAAAGAGAATAATCCAATGCGGGCAAGGGGAAGCAATGGTTGAATGCAAAATCTCTAGGTTCGAACGATGATTGGGTTTGAAGATATGACCGCATGATGCCAGTGAGTACACGATTTCGCGAGTAAGTTATCAAACCCATCATGGCGACGTTACATTGCATTTTAGTGGCTTATGGCTAGGCATCTGAAGAGACTCCTCATTCGGCATTCTGCAGTCCCTTGTCATGCATACCGATAACGGGAACTATATCCCTGATGCTGAACAACCATTATTAAACGACTTCGTTTCTGCAAGCTAACTGGAACGTTTTTGGTCAAGTGACCAAAACTTCATGCGGTGTGATGTATAGATGGTCTGACAGACGCCGGAAATGGATTCTGGAATTCGGAACGAAATGAAAAAATGATCAATCATAATAACGTACTTGTCAATCATGCCATCTGTATCTCCGATTTTTCCAGGGCCGGTAATTGCACCCCATTGAAGAAGAGATAATGTGGCGCTCAGCCATGGCATGCGAGCATCCATATCTAGCAAAGTAGAGACGCATGACCATAGCTTCATTTTGAGAATAGGGCGCTTGAGTGGTTGAGCTCGAGCCCAAGGTAACGCTTCCGAGTTCATCGGTGGCTCCGAGTCATCGTTCGGCAACGTAAAGCCAGTAGGTTTCCTCGCGGGAGGAATACGAGACGGCAATGAAGATGAGCTAGCAATAGCAATGAATATAACCCGGACCGCGGCGAACGCCAGAAACAAATATTGAAGAATTAGCCAAAAATATTTCTGCACCGATTTCCCAAAATTGGAAGCTTTCGTATTGCCGGCTTTAATATCCAATAAGTTCGGTCTGATAATTTCGGAATTTGACCTGTCGATTCGAACCTGAGCTTTGGCTTTTGGTAGTCGAGCTTGTATGACTTCTGCAACCTTCATTATACCCTCCCATAATAGCCATGGTTCGCAAGCTTTACCTCCAATACCATTTCCCAGTATCATTTCCGAAAAAATCTGACCAACTAGAGATGTCAAGCAATCATTCTCGAGATCTTCCGTAGGCAGTAGAACGGCTAAAACGCCGTTAACAATCAATTGTCTATATGCAGCTTCATTATTCGACTGGCTCTTGATCGTATCGGGATCTTCATCAAGCGGAACGGGGGACAGTGGCGCAAAAGGCCAGAGCGAATGATATACTTGTCGCGGGTTCACCGAAATTGGTTCTGGATGTAGAGGGTAATGCGATGTTCTATATACTTTTCATCAGTTAGCATTATCGCTTGATGTACCTCGTAAGTGACTATACTTTTGACATGTGTATCCAATAAGTCTGGCAGTTCTTCAAACAGCAAGCTCTCCAAGTCGACCTTCCTTAGCCTTTGTTCCAGAGCTCTCGTACAGTGTGCAGTAATCTTTACCACCTCCTCCACAAACATTTGGTCCGGCGTAATCTTCGCATACCAGGTATGCACAAATTCCCTTATTATGATTGCTATCAATGCGTATAACTGCAAGTCAACCTCATTACTACTTGTTAATGGGGGAAGTATCTCATCGATTGGAGCCGGGGTACTGCGGCCCTTTTCACTAAGATGTGAGCATAATGTGCGACGTATGAACAACAATGTAGACCTGTCGGAGATAGCATCTGCATCGGTAGAGAGTTTTCGGTTGGTGGGAGCTGCTGGAGCATTAGATCGTAATGGAGGATTCGACGTTGCTATTGTTTCTGTAGAGGGAGCGGTAGTGTTCGGGATTGTATGAGCTTTTGTGCGAGGCTGAAAGGGTGTGCGCACTGGTACGCCTGCCATTGCTTAGAAAAATACAGTTGAATGGCCGCGAAATCATGGCGAATTGTTAGGCATGATGTTAGGTTTGAGGACGATACGTTGTTGCAATAAAGAGGGAGAGGGAGAAGATGAGGCTGTAAGTTTAAGGTGGGTAAGTGATGCATCTCCCAGGAGACAATGCGGGCGTGGATGGTGGAGAACCAATGAGATGTCAAGCTTTGTCGTACCCATAATTTACACACCCGTCCAGCAACAATATCGATATCAACATCTCTACTTGAAAATCAAGACACAACCGATTCTTAAGTCCCATTCTCTTGAATCATTTTCTCCCTTCTCATTCCAATAGGTAAGAATCCAACAGCCATCTCGGGCTTGCGGGGAGAGCGATTAAAGATGCAAAAATTAACACGCCAGTCTGCCCCTTTCCATCCCAACCATTGCTCAATTACAGTCGTATGCCATGCCTTGATATGCCGTATCATGGCTAGCTACCTTTTATGTTCATGCTCTTATCTTCTTTTGTCAAATATACGGAACAAGCGTTCTGTAGGTCGGAACGTCAAGACATGAAGTGTGTATACAGCAAATGCTGTCAAGTCCGACTCAAGTGTGCAAACCGAAAGATTGATCTATCGGTGGGCTGTTATAGTACCTGAGCATATACGTTTAAACTTTCTATCTGAAATGGATCAGACGACTTCTGCAACGAGAAACCATCTTTTAGTTCATCTTATGAATGTCCTGGGGACCTATATACCCCTCAGCCAAGGCATATCTCTCTCCCTACTCGCGAGAATAAGTCCAAGTGAACAGGTCGTCTTCTCAAAACAGACCCGTACTCAAACATAATATGATGTTTGCTTTATGGTCGTCTGTTGCGAATGTGTATCCATGCATCAAATCGTTCATTGCCTTTCGCCTTTGTCAAGTATGCCGATGAACATTATTTGGGTTCGAATTAAAACAATCGAATAACACATCCGGCACTACACGAATCATATAAAGTTTTTCATCCATAAAGACATGAGACGAGTTTGCTGGTATTGCACTCTTATCGGCCACTCGGAATGCCCATGTAGTGCGAGTTGGCAGCCTTAAGCCGCAGCTCAGGCACTCATATACCATCTATTAATGAGATACGAACCGTATTTTCATGAAAAGCCTATCACAAGTCAAGCCAGTAAATATTCTGTAGCAAATGCATTTTGCTTTGTATTGAATTGAATAGTCCTTGATGCACAGATAATATAAGCGTTAAAGATTTAACTCATTGATACTTATCTCCTAGTCCTCATCGTTCTTCTCTAATCGAGTATTCTACAGCAACTTGTAAGTGTAAACCATGTGGTAAAACCTCAAGATTGAGAACAGCATTGCCAAAATGTCCTCCTTTGGTGAGCTTACAGTAGTCAACGCAATCCATCAACCCGTGGATTTATTTTTGGTAAGCTTCAGAAACGAAGTTCTAATAGAACATTCGCCTCATATAATCACATATGGCGTGTCATTTGCTTATTTACGGCCAACAACCAAGCACTAAAAGTTTTCACTCCCCACTTGTACATGAACGCTCATGAGTATCTCTTCCAAAACCCCTCTTGGTTCTGATTCCGATATCTCAAGATTTTGCATGCTTGAACAGTACTATGAGTGATTCCGCAATTCCTCTCAGTATTTCCGTCGTCTGCTTGGATATTTGTCTTGTATTCAAGCCTTGTCGAGTTGTCTAAACGATTGGTAGTGCTACTCCAAAGCCTTCAATGAGCCGTCCTATTGTCACCCCAAGACTTTCAACGTGTGAAGCCCTCAAAAGTTAATGTTGCACATGTGAAATACTTGATGACAGACCTTATGCTGGCAAACACGGAATGAGAATCGTCAGTCTATGTCACTACAGAGGTCATCCTTTGTGTCGGGTAATGTTTCATTCTGCCCTCAACGTTAGAGCAAATGGGTGGCTTTTGTGTTCTGGAGTGTTCTAAAAGAGTCTTCTCAGTTCCAAGCTCTACAGTGTTCCAGATCTCGTTAGTAGAAATCTGGACTTTATCGGCGTACCTTTACAATGTTGTTACAAATCGATTTTCTAGTAGCTCCTAGTGCGGCGATCATTTTGACTAGGTTCTGGTGCTTTTTGTATAAATAATGAGTTCCCCCCCCAACGTTTCATGGGTTTCTCTTTCTTCTTCGGCATAGAGTGATACAGTTTTTTATCTCATATGTCTTCTTTTCAACTTCGCGGTCGAGAAGAAGACTTATGAGATAAGAATCTGAATCATTTTGTGCTCGGCTGGCGAAGACGGAATTCTCTACCTGTACGCGGTGCCGGCTACGAACCTGAATTAACTCACAATTATATTCAGAGCCAGAGAGATACGCATTTTGAAATATCGTTTGAGAGTTTGTTTGTCCAACACCGGGCTATAGAAAAGCACACAAAATGGTTATACCCTCAAGGACGCTTAACATATTCGGATGTAAAAGGGCCCCAAAGTTCGTTTCAATCAAATCCGTGAACAATGTGTCGGAAGCCTCCCAAGTTCTCTAATAATAATAGTCAAACGTCAAACAGCAATTTTCCACTACAGCGTATCTTTAAATAGTGTAATATGATAAATCTCAGTTGAATTATTTTGTGTTCCGCGAATATGAGCTGTCAAACCCCAGGTTCCCAGTGCTTATTTCTCAGTCACTTTTCCCTCCGTATTCTATGGCACTCGTCTTCTCGTTCCTTCTCGTTCCGGTTCTTGACACAGGAAAAGAGAGGAAGCAGTGGGATGCACGTGTAGCTCAAGTCTTACTCGATTGATTTATCACCTAATTCAAACACTTTGACAGCTCCAACTAGCAATATTCAAATTTGGAGTGGTTAGTTTGATTCATCTGACCTATTAGATGATTTTAAGCTTGAAAGGTCCCCTTAGTTGACTTTTAACTTTGGTGATCTGGCCATATACTAATAATTTCAAATCACAAACTGGCCACAGTTGACTTTTCAATTTAGTGAATCTGTCTATTGTCTATTTCTTAATCCCAAATCAGGTAAAGACGAGATTCTAGTCGAGTGATCTTTTTGACTAGCTTCCAACACTTCGTGTATAAGAACTTCGCATCCCCTCGACATTTTCCAAGTTCTTCTCCTCTTCTTCAGAGCACAGATGTGGTCTAAGTCATCATCATCCAAGTTCGCTGTCTCGAGTAATATTTCGCCCTATTTGGTAGCCTGAAATATCCGTTTATGACAAAAGCCCTCCTTTTTCATTGATCTCGTCCTTCCAAAGAGAGATAGAGAAAAGAAGCGGCGGCTGCGGAAACGCGATAAATCACTTCTCCTGACAGAAACCCGCCTTTTTCAAATGACCTCGCTTTCTCGGGAGTGAGAGAGAAAAAGGAAGCGGTGGCTGCGGAAATTTAAACAGGCTACGAACGAAAGCAGAACATTACTTGGGGGGGGGAAAGACAGGAACTGTGGACGATGGGGACTTAAAACACAACTGTGGTCCGTGACCTGGGTCATCATTCCTCCTTTTCTGTTGCTTCTCGAGCCCTGAATCCTTCGGGGTGCTGGTGATGAGAAGTGATATGGAGCGCAGTGGGTGATGGCCCAGAGTTGCGTTTGGTCGATTTCACGAGGTCATGTGATTACACGTGATTCCTGAGATATCATGCATTCAAACTCCATGGTTGGTATGAGAGATATCTATGTCTTTTGCGATTCGTCATTACTTCAATTGTTGACAGTTGGATCTCGATATATCTATTTCATACTCTGGAAGCAATACGTGATAAATTGCTCAGGAAGTCTTCTTCATATTACATTCTACGGGGTATCTAAACCATTTTCTTTTGAGGACTTCAGAGCATGAGATATGAGATAAATCAATATACATTATCTTTGTGTTTAAATGAACAAATTTTTATTGGTATCGTAATTGCTATCTGATTTGCTACTTGTGAAATACATTGTATCCAGTTGTGACATTATTACTGAATATTCCACCAACCTATCTACTTCTATATTCTTCAACGATACTCTTCACTATTTTCCTCGTACCGATGCCCCATTCCCCGATGGAATGCAATGTAAGTCTACAACAACTCGAGATTACAATCTTTCAATCTTGGCTTCTTATCAGTCTTACGTAGATTACTTTGTAGATCCTAATTCTACAAATATCTTTCAAAGTATCAAACTGACTCTTTGTTGGGACATTCTCTATACCAAGGCTCAATCACATCAAACACCTCTCACAATTCTATATCTACACACGTTGAAAGCTCAACTATCACTCCCGGATTTTCTGAATCGTAAACTAATGATACCAGTCTTACTGTGTCATTATAACAAGCTACCAGTACCAATATCAGGTTTGATATTTTCATATGAATGGAAACTCCCCGACCTGAGCATCTTGTTCATCTGAGTATCCAATGAATGGGAAGCAAGGTATTATATACATACACAAGCATGAGGTAGGTCTGAATATAATGAGGTTGGTGAACTTTTCGGAATTAAGAATTTGGACGGTACAGTCTAAATGCCCAAAGTTCCTCCGGAGAGCCAAACAAGAAGAGGACCTCTTATAGGAATGAACTGGACAACTAAATGTAAAAAGGAACTGGCTGAGAAAGATCATAGGGGCTAGACTTGCATCGATATAGATGGAAAAGCGGTACATCAAATCACGTAAACACAATCATACAATGAAAACACTTGTATTTCAATACTTTACAATGATGCAGATTCATGTTTAAATACAGATGATAATAGATCCGAAACTCATGAATACACATTCTCAGCTTCCACTCGAAACATGATTACTTGATCTGATATCGAATACTGCTAGGTTTCTAGGTAGTATTAAAAAGAGTCCTGCTGGAGCTTGCTTACCTGATCTCAGTTGCTCCTTCACAGTGGGGCACTGCAACAACAAAAGAAAATAAGAAGCAGAATCAATGAAAGAACAGAAATTTCTCTAAAAAGATCAACAAGTACAAATATGAGATAGAGGTAGTAACCAGATAGACCGCAGATACTAGAGTCTTCTTCAATTTTCGCATATGATTTATATCTACTTCAAGTAATGTTCTTTTATGAATTTGATATTGAAGCTGGCCATCATGTGACCATCAAAACCTGAGGCACAAACTGCACTTCGGTAAACTTTTAGCGCCAAAAATCCATCTGGCGTGCTGAAATTTTCGCGTTCCTGTAACTTACACCACGACCGCAAAGCAGCAAAGGAAAAGCACTGCCTTGTCTTCACAACCGCACCTTTGCGCTTCTCCATCGACCACAGATAATAACTCTACCACCGATGAACAGTCGCCAATCCCCCTCATCCCCCCTTTAGTTCAACGATATCAATTTTTAATTACAATCCTACCACAATTTTTGATTCTCTACGGTCTTCGTTTTCGTAAAGAAATAATTCCCACTTATTCCAATTACAATCCCCAATTTTCCCATTTGTGATCATCGACTTCTCTTTGGGTCCATCAATTTTGTATCAACTTTATCAAAAGAAGCATCGCGCCAAGTTGTTGCTTCTATCAAAAAGCCATTCAACATCAACACTGAACGCGCCCATTCATTTGGTCCCGCGATAACACTCGTCTTTCCGCTTTATCGACGTGTTCACTCATTGTCAAATCACCGTGGACTTGATCAATACTTCTTATTAAACCATACGCGCCTCAATACAACATTGTACCTCATGCGCAAGGCTACCTTTTGATATGTTCTAAAGCTTACCTTGATACAACAACCACAACTCCGACGTTCACTTCACACGCATTCGTTTCCCCCACACCACCATGGCTTCTACTATCCAAAACGCGCCGGCTTCTCAACAGCCTGGTCCAACTATGCCCAATGAGATGAACCCGCAAATACAAGCTCTGTTACAGGTAACTTCCTCTCCTACTCCAATTTTTGAGAATTATGTTCTTGGTACACCCTATCATTTTATAGTTTGCTAACCTGTTGGTTTTAACAGAGATACAAACAAATGAAGGATCAGGGCGTGTCGGAAAAAGATCCCGAATTCATAAAGGTTCACCAAACTCTTTCGACCTTTCGCATGCATCGGCAGAAAGCTGCATTTGCACAACAGCAACAACAACAGATGATGCAGCAGCAGCAACAACACCAAAATGCAAATAGTGTCGCGGCAAATGGTTCGAATTTACCCCGACCTCCATCTACCTCGAGCTCTGTCTCTAACGCACAAGTACCTGCTACATCCTCACTTGGCCCTTCGGCGATCCCCGCGACTGCAGCAAGCTCTGCCGCGTCTAAGGTAGTCGTTGGATCTCAGAAGCCATCTGGGAGTGCTGGCTATTTCTCGCCAGATCAATTGGCTATGCTAAAGCACCAGATTTACGCCTTCAAGTGTCTGTCGAAGAACTTGGGGATTCCAGCGCAAACTCAGCAACACTTATTTGCATCTCAAAAGAAGCTACCTGTGCCGATCGAGCAAGCGCTGGCTGCCCCTCAACAGTCTGGCGAGGATGCCCAGTCTACCGTCAATGGAGTAGAAAGTACCGCTGTTCAAAAAGTTGACGGACCCAAAATCCACGAGTATACCGGATTTCAAGACCCGCGTGAGGGACTTCTGAAACAAATTAGCTATGGTACGCACAAGCTTCGACAAAAGCGACCCATAATTCCATCTATCTTCCCAACTGGTGTCAACATTGAAGAGCTTCGTCAAAGACGCGCCGACATTATTCACAATCGCATGAATGCGAGACTCAATGAATTGAGATCATTGCCTGCAAATATTGCGCATCTGGATGCGCGTGATGATGAAATGGTGCCAGATGACTCTCTCAGGCGCAAGGCTCTGATTGAGATGAAAATGTTAGCATTGTACGATAAACAGAAGGCGTTGCGTGAGAGAGTCGGTAGACAAATGGTTCAATACGACAATCTAGCGATGACGGCCAACAGAAGCATGTATCGCCGCATGAAGAAACAATCACTTCGGGAAGCTAGGATTACCGAAAAGTTGGAGAAGCAGCAGCGCGACGCTCGTGAAACTCGGGAGAAGAAGAAGCACACTGATTATCTACAAACTGTCCTCAACCATGCTCGTGAGGTCAACTTGGCTGGCCAAAATCAGAGACAGAAGATGGTCAAACTGGGCCGTATGATGGTAACTCAACATCAGAATATCGAAAAGGAAGAACAAAAACGCATCGAGCGAACAGCAAAGCAACGTCTCGCAGCTTTGAAATCGAACGACGAGGAAGCATACCTGAAATTGTTAGATCAAGCAAAGGATACTCGTATTACCCACTTGCTCAGACAAACAGATGGCTTCTTGTCTCAACTTGCTGCATCCGTCAAGGAACAACAACGAAAAGCAGCCGAGCGTTATGGTGATGACTTTGAGGAGGACGAGTCTGAAGACGAGGATGAGGAAGAACAGGATACTCGCAAGATTGATTACTACGCTGTCGCCCATCGTATTAAAGAAGAAGTCAACAAACAGCCTGGCATTCTTGTCGGCGGTACTCTGAAGGAATACCAATTGAAGGGTTTGCAATGGATGATTTCACTGTACAACAACAATTTGAACGGTATTTTAGCAGATGAGATGGGTCTCGGTAAAACTATCCAGACCATCAGTTTGCTCACATATTTGATTGAGGTCAAAAAACAGAACGGTCCTTTCCTGGTTATTGTTCCGTTGAGTACCCTGACCAATTGGACTCTTGAGTTCGAGAAGTGGGCTCCAGCTATTGGAAAGATTGTTTATAAAGGTCCTCCAAACACAAGAAAGCAACAGCAAAATCACCTTCGTTATGGAAACTTCCAAGTACTTTTGACTACATACGAATACATCATCAAGGACAGACCAATTCTGAGCAAGATCAAATGGGTGCACATGATTATCGATGAAGGTCATCGTATGAAGAACTCACAGTCGAAACTCAGTGCTACTCTCACACAGTACTACACTACTCGCTATCGTCTTATTCTTACCGGTACTCCTCTCCAGAACAATTTGCCAGAACTTTGGGCATTGCTCAATTTCGTTCTACCCACCATCTTCAAGTCTGTCAAATCTTTCGATGAATGGTTCAATACTCCCTTTGCCAACACTGGTGGTCAAGACAAGATGGAGCTCACTGAAGAAGAACAGATTCTTGTTATTAGACGTCTCCACAAAGTTTTGCGACCTTTCTTACTTCGTCGTCTTAAGAAGGATGTCGAAAAGGACCTTCCAGACAAGACTGAAAAGGTTATCAAGTGTAAATTCTCGGCTTTGCAAGCCCGCCTCTACAAACAAATGGTTACACATAACAAGCTAGTTGTAAGCGATGGAAAGGGAGGCAAGACCGGAGCTAGGGGTTTGAGCAACATGATCATGCAGTTGCGAAAACTTTGTAACCATCCTTTCGTGTTTCGCGAAGTTGAAGATCAAATGAATCCAACGGGCTACATCAATGATTCTTTATGGCGAAGTGCAGGAAAATTTGAGTTGCTCGACCGCATCTTGCCAAAGTATCAAGCAACTGGACACAGAGTTCTGATGTTCTTCCAAATGACGGCCATCATGGACATTATGGGAGAATTCCTAGATTACAGAGGTATCAAATTCATGAGATTGGATGGTACAACTAAATCTGATGATCGTTCGCTTCTCCTAAAGGAGTTCAATGCACCGAACTCCGAATACTTTTGTTTCTTGCTGTCAACTCGTGCCGGAGGTCTCGGTCTGAATTTGCAGACCGCTGACACTGTAATCATCTACGATTCAGATTGGAATCCTCATCAAGATTTACAGGCTCAGGATCGTGCTCATCGTATTGGTCAAAAGAACGAAGTTCGTATTCTTCGACTCATCAGTTCCAACTCGGTCGAGGAGAAAATCTTGGAAAGAGCAAAGTTCAAGCTTGATATGGATGGCAAGGTCATCCAAGCTGGTAGATTCGATAATAAATCTTCTGAGACTGATCGTGACGCGATGCTTAGGGTTATGTTAGAAACAGCCGAAGCCGCTGAGTCTATGGAGCAGGATGACATGGATGATGAAGAGCTTAATGAGATTTTAGCACGCTCTGACGAGGAAATTGTCAAGTTCCGAGAAATGGACGAGGAAAGAAACAAACATCTTTTATACGGCAATAATCCTCAAAGCAAGCGTATTCCTCGTCTCATGGCCGAAAGTGAACTCCCTGAGATATACATGTCCGATGGAAATCCTATATCTGACGAGCCAGAGGCACCAGTAGGTCGTGGCCAAAGAGAGCGCACACGTGTCAAGTATGATGATGGCCTTACAGAGGAGCAATGGACCATGGCCGTGGACGACGATGAGGATTCACCAGAAGCAGCAGCAGCCCGTAAAGCAGCTAGAGCAGATCGTCGTGAACGAAACAAGAAGAGAAAGGCAGGTCAATTGAACGGCCCTCTTTCACCAGCTGGTAGTCGTGATAGCTCCGAAGATCCTGAACCCGAGCCTGAGCCGACACCCAAGAAGGGACGTGGACGCAAGCCAGGCTTTAAGGTTGAGAAGCGCAAAGCCGAAGACTTTGATGAGGAACAACCACCGCCAAAGCGAAAGCGTGGTGGTCCTGGGCGCCCACCAAGAATCCCCAACGGAGATATCTTGACGCCCAAGACTCGAGTGACTCTCCAGGCCAGTTTGAAGATAGTCTTTGATCATCTGATGCACCTAAAATCTTTGCCTGAATCTCCAGACTCACAAGGAGAGCAAACAGCACGCGAGATCATATTCCCGTTTGTTTCCTTGCCGTCGAAGAAAGATTTCCCAGATTATTATTTGATTATCAAGGAACCAATCGCTATGAAGCTCATTGAAAAGAAAATCAACAAGAGAGAATACAATAGTCTGCAGGATTTCAAGAAAGATATCGACACTCTCTGCACCAATGCTAAGACATATAACGAGGATGGTAGCTTGATCTATGTTGATGCTGTTGCGATCAGCGTAAGTTCAATCGATTTTCATATTTGTAGCAGTACTAACAAATAATAGGAGGAATGTGAATCTCGAATTCAAGACGAAATCAACGAGCATCCGGAACTTGGTCCTGACGGCGATGAGACCTCACGCAATGGCGGCTCGACGGCTCCTACTACGAGTGCTGGAACTCCCATGCCAGCACCCGGGCCAAGCACAAAGTTGAAGCTTACATTTAACAAGCAGCCGGCTAATGGCAGAAGTAGTAGTATGCAAACTGATGACGACGATGACGATGATGATGAGTAGACACTCATGGATGAGATTCATTGAGATTTACGATGGAAAGAGGTGTAAGGGGCTTGGTGGGTTACTTATTCTCGCACGTACAATCCGTGCATGTTGTTTTTTTAGTGGCGTTTGCATCACATGGAAAGGAGTTACCTGAAGGGAGCAAACGTTTTGCGCATTTGGCGCGAAGGCATGACAGAAGCTTCTCAGAAGCTTTCCGGTTCTATCAAAAGGTGCATGCCTAGAATGTATTTTATTAGAGCGAAAGAGATGCATGAGAGATAATTCCATAGTATACCAGTCTATTGACAGAAATTAAAAATTTGTACCAAGTCGTTGTTTTTATGAAAATTTTCACAATGAAATGCATGTTATATTGCAAACTTTGCAAAGAAGGTAGTGAATAAGTCACTGTCTGATTATAAACAGACAAATCGTGGTGTTGTTAAACCGTATTGGGACTAGCAGTGATATTTACAGATAAATGTCCGTGCTTTATTAATAGCGTTGTCCTGAATACCCGTATTCCAAGGCTTTCAGTTTTATCATCTGCAGTACTTCAGCATTGCATACAGGAGAACAGAATACCATCAGCTTCAGGTTGACTTACTTTGCATGTTCCTCGATTTTCGGCGCGAAACATTCAACTTTGCAGGTGCTGATATTCTGAACTCGATGAATCCCTAACTTAACAAGCTGATCCTCGACGCGACTTTCCCCAGCTCTTCAGTTGCGCCAATTGTCCAGGCTCTTCCAAATACTCACCAACGCGCAGGATAGTAAGCCAACATTATGTCTGCGAATAAAAACGGCCATGTCAATGGTGGCGCAAACGGTCATGATGCTAGCAACACGAATGGAAGAATGATTAGCAAACGATTTTCCGACATCCCCTCAGCTATTGATATTCCGGTGACAGGAGAAGATGATGATCAGGCAGTCGAAATCGATCTCGAAGATTTACTCGATGACCCCACCGAACTATGTACATTACTCGAAAACGAAGGTGCGGCTCGCACATATTGGATGACAGTTGCACTGGCATACGCGAAGCAAAAGAAGGTTGATCATGCCATTGAGATGTTGACAAAAGGTCAATCTGCTATGCGCGGTGGTAATAAAGAGAGGCTCAGCATGCTCACATGTCTATGCTGGATGTATCTATGGAAGAGTAAAGAGGCACCTCGCCATCGGCCAGATAGCGTGGAGCACGGAGAAGAGATCAAAACGAAAGAGGATTGGTTGAAAATGGCGACATCGAATTTGAATGACGCTTCCCGGATTAACCCATCTTTTCCACCACTGTTCTTAGCACGAGGTGTCTTGCAGCTTCTCCGAGCATCTACTCGACCATTTCCAAGAAATAACACAGCACCCGGCGCACTGGATCCTGAGAAGGCTGAGCTTCTACGAGGAGCTCAAAAGTCATTTGAGGATGCAATCAAGGCTTCACACGGTAGAAATATGTTGGCAGTATTAGGCAAAGCCAGGGCTGCATATTCAATGGGCAAATACGCAGAGGCTTTAGAAGGATACCAAGAAGCATTACGCTCAATGCCAGATCTGGTAGACCCCGATCCAAGAATTGGAATCGGCTGTTGTTTCTGGCAGTTGGGTTTCAAGGAAGATGCAAAGGCCGCTTGGGAGCGATCGTTGGAAATAAACCCGGATTCGAAGGTTGCAAATATATTACTCGCTCAATTCTACCTCGATCAAAGCGCACACGTACCAACGAATAGCCCAGAATTCATCCAATTATACAAGAAGGCCATGACCGAGTATACTCAGAAATCCTACAAGGCCGATAAGGATATGCCTTTAACTTGCGCTACCTTTGCCGGATACTTCTTATCGCGCAAATCGATGCCAAATGTCGAGGCTCTAGCCCAGAAAGCTATCCAATACACAGACGTTAATGCAATTGCAAGTGATGGGTGGTATTTGCTTGCGAGAAAGGAACACTTCGATGACAATTACGAGAAGGCTCTGGATTATTACGGCCGAGCTGATGATGCGCGTGGTGGTGCTGATAGAGGATATATGCCTGCTAAGTTTGGAGCTGCACAATTATCTGTTCTGAAAGGCGATTTTGGAGAAGCGAAATTACGACTCGAGAAAATCATCCAACAATCAAAGAACATTGAGGCAATGATTTTACTGGGCACCTTGTATGCAGAAGAGGTGTTCAGCAGCCAGGAAAGCGGAGTTAAAGAAGATAAAAGCACGGAATACAAGAAAGCTGTCGGTTATCTTGAAAATGTCCGTACAGCATGGAAAGATCCTAAGAAAAATCTTGTTCCTGACGCGTCGGTTCTTCTCAATCTTGCGAGACTTTACGAAACAGAACAACCCGAGAAAAGTTTGCAATGTCTCCAGCAAGTCGAGCAAATCGAGTTTGATCAAATCCCAGCTGCGGATAAGCCAGAGGAGACAGACGACGAAGTTGCATACAAGAATACTATGCGCGAAAACTTGCCCCCTCAACTACTTAACAATATCGGATGCTTTTACTATCAATCCGAGAAGTATGACCCAGCTCGCGAAATGTTCCAAGCTGCGTTGAATGCTTGTGTTAAAGCTGGTGAAAAGCTTGAAGGCATGGACACTGATGCATTAGTCACCACTATCAGTTTCAATCTTGGGCGTACGTATGAGGCTAGCGGTATGCCTGACGAAGCGAAGACGGTTTATGAAGGGCTGTTGGGTCGACACAGTGATTATACTGATGCTAAAACACGTTTGGCATATATCGCACTGCGTCGAGACCGAACAGAAGAAGGACCCAAAGCTGTTTCCGCTCTGTATAAAGAGTCTTCTGCTGACCTTGAGGTTCGAGCGTTGTACGGTTGGTATCTAGGACGTATGCACTCTCGAAAGAGATCTAGCAATGTCAACGAGGATCCAGAATATCGTCACTACAAGCATACTTTACAACAGTATGACAAGCACGATAGATATGCCTTGATTGGTATGGGCAACCTCAATCTTATGGCTGCTCGTGAGATGCGTCGTGATTCCGAGTCAGACAAGCAAGCCCGAAGTAAGACCTACACGAAGGCGGTCGAATTCTTCGATAAAGCTTTACAGCTGGACCCTAAAAGCGCTTATGCTGCTCAGGGTATAGCTATTGCACTCGTGGAAGACAAAAAGGATTCTAAAACCGCCCTGCCTATCTTTTTGAAAGTAAGAGATACAGTGAAGGACCCAAGTGTATTTGTCAATCTCGGTCACATATTTGCAGAGTCGCGACAATATTCCAAGGCTATTGAACATTATGAAGCTGCTTTAACGAAGGATCGAGCTCATGATAGTCACATCTTGACTTGTTTGGGACGAACTTGGCTGTCGAAGGGGAAAGGCGATAAGAGCTTATCGTCATTTAAGAGTGCGCTTGATTACTCAATAAAGGTATGTTACTTCCTTGAGAGGGAGACTTTCATTTTTTTTAATAAGAATCATTTATAGGCTCTTGAGATTTCGCCCGAACAGGTCCACTACAAGTTCAACGTTGCATTCGTACAGCTTCAATTAGCGACCATGATTTACAACTTACCAGAAACTCAAAGATCCCTTGAAGAAGTCCAAGGTGCAGCCAAGGGTCTAGAAGATGCTATCGAAGCTCTTGACGCCATTGCTAAACATCCTAATCCACCATATCCCAAACATGACATTGAACAACGTGCTAACATGGCGCGAAACACAATGCGTCGTCAATTGGAACGTTCAATGCAAGCACAAAAAGAGTACGAGGAAAAGAACGCTTCAAAGATTCAGGCTGCAAAGGAACAGAGAGAAGCCGAGTTGAGGAGAAGAGAGGAGGTGCGCGAAGCAGCTGTGAGGGCGGAAAATGAACGCAAAGCAAAGATCGCGGAAGAGAGACAGAAGATTGCAGAGAGAGATCGTGAATTGGCTCAGGCAAGAGCTGCTGATGATATTGCCAGAGAAAACGCGGACATGACTACTGATAGTGAGACTGGTGAGAGGATCAAGAGAAAGAAGATTCCCAAAGGTAGATCAGGTGGTGGGAAACGCAAGAAGAAGGAGGATGGAATCACTGATGATGAGGATTCCGGCGCGGAGGAGGGAGGTAGTAGATCACAAAGGAAAAGTAGAAAAGCGAGAAGAGGTAGTGGGAGTGAGGAGGAAAAGCCAAAGACCAAGAAGAGAAGGCTTGCTAAGAAGGGAGGAGAGAAGAAAGATGAAGGCAAATATAAGAGTAGTGAGATCGTGGTGGAGAGTGACAGTGATGGAGATGATGGAGCTGATGAAGCTAGAAAGGCTATGGATGGTGAGGCTGGAGATGATGTTGAAATGCAGGAGGCTACGAATGGTCAGGCTACTGCCGCTGGTGGCGATAGTGACGAGGAAGAACAAGTCGTCAAGACGACAAGGAAGAGTAGAAGAGGTGTAATTGAAGACGATGAGGATGAAGATATCGAGGCTGATACTAGCGCTGTCGGTGCTACTCACCAAGAAGATTCTCCAAACACGGCAAACGAGGATAATGATACCCCAATGGCGGGGACGGCGGTAGCGGATGATGATGACGAGTAGATCTACTCGGGAGGCATCTAAATATGATTCGCGCGTGGATGGTGGGTTGGGAAGTGGGAAAATATGGCAAGATATTAAAATGATAATTCGACAAAGACGATACCACACATCATCATATTATGCATAAAGTTAGCTGGCTAGGGAAAGGGAAAATATTTTTGAGCTGCATGTATATTAGACTGAACATTCGAGGATAAGGGCAATAAGAATTGCATACATTATCCCCAAGAGTTTCTATTTGATGGATTGTTCCTCGGCGCTGTGTCCGGTTGCAAAATGAAGTACATAAGATGCACATTAGAAATTCTCGTCTCCAACATCCTTTCGTTTGATTTCCATTTTGGCTTAGCTCGATACTTGAGCCCAGCTTTCAAAATAGGAAAAACCTAGATAGTATAATATACATTGAGATACTTGGTTATCATATCCTTTACATTGACACCCGTGGAGGAAATAGGCGAGAGTGCTTGAGGCCTGTTTTTTGTACAGTTTGAGGTGGGAATAGGGGAACTTGGGTGTCGGCTGTCTGAACCTCGATTTCGGGCCCTAGGATCAAAGTCCAGATGGAAAAATGTACCTAACAAGATAAGTACTACCAAGAATCTACCACCATCCAGCGGTTTCACATTCAACACAACCCTGCATTCAACAATATCAATACAAAGCCGATAGCAGATTCTAAAATCATTTTATTTCATTATTCTTGACGTTTCTCGACCTGTTTAGTCACATCAAATCGAATCGTACGATCTCCTTTTTTCCAGCGGGATATCGAAACCCAAAAATATACCAAAGCCACCGAAGGAAATCAAATAGTAATAGGTATGCAAACCAGGACGCCGCCCATATGCAGTGATATTGAATGAGTGTAAAGAAAAGAGTTCATTATGTCCGACGATTTCCACACTTTCAGATCTGTTCTCCTTAGATCCATCTGTTCGTCGTGAGATGTGGTTGTGGTGTTGTTGGGTGGGTTGAGGTTTTGTTGTGTATGTGTGTGCGAGTGTGTGTGTGTAGGTGGATGGGGATGTAGATAGATATTTATTCCTCCTCGTAGAACCAGTATCTGGATTGTGTTAGAATATTGACCACGCTTGAAGTGAGAAAAGGAGGTACGTACTCAGCAGCATACTGCACATCGAAACTACTCGATAAGTTATCCTTGCAAGTAGTCGGTGGGTTTCCTCCCGCAGTATTGACTCTATAAACCTCCGACAAGCCTCCTGTTGCCCCATCTCTCGCTGCTAATTTCAACCACGCTACAGCTCCAAAGCCTTGACCATTCTGTCCCACCGACGCACCGGCTGGAGCAGCAAGTGCGTCACTCTTTGCGAATCCTCCTTGACCCAATTGCCAATTCTTGGTGTTCAAGTCAAAAAATGGCGTCGAGGTATTGGTGAAGAAATGATGACCGCTCATCATGAGATCGGCGGGATGAAGATTTTGAGTAGAGGATGCAGCGAGATTGAGATCGAATTGGAGAGCGACGTTGGGGAGGAGGGCAAGGAGATCGGGATAGGTTGCTGCTACACAAGAGGCATTGAAAAGGGTTGCTACTGCGCCAACGGCGGTGGGTGCTGCTGTTACGTTGGTGCCGCATGTGTAGTTTTGGGTTCCGCGACCGATGGCAACGTGCTTGAGGATTAGACCTGTGGAGGGATCGGGCATAGGTGTTGGATCTGTGGAATTGGGTTAGTTCTGGAATCTTATATGGCGATATGGAAGACGAGAGCATACATAGAACTGGTTGAGCTGCAGTGTTGAGATTGCACACGGGAGCATGAGACATTTTCCTTCCTGCTTGAACTTTCTGACCCAACATGTCGAAGTATTCGGATATGACTTGTTTTTCGGCGGGATGGGCAGCACCGGATGAAAAAGTGTAGGTAGGAGCCGGAAGGGCCGTTGCTCCCAGAGCAAAGATGGCCCAAAGAAACGACGAAGAAACCATGATGAATAAGAATTGCGATTCGTAAGACTTAATAAGAAGTAAGAAATTCAAGAAATAACCAAGCAGAAAACAACCCCAAAGGAAAGAAATAGAGATGTCAATTCCACACTTTATGAAAAGGATGGATAAATAAAATGTGATGAACCGAAACTAATCCTCGATGATATGCCGGATATATAGACTCTAGAATCCCAATCGAAACAAAGAACTAACGGATCGATAATCGAACTTCTTAAGCGCACCGAGAGTTCAAACTGTTCAATGAATAACTGGACTTCCAAATTCATATCTCACAGGCGCTCAGTAGGCGTCTTATACCATCAAACAGAACGGCACGATTGACAATATCCATTGGATTTCCCTTGCCATGATACTAATCCTGGAAAACAGCCGCTTACCACCATGTACGCAAGACATGTAACTATTCTTTTTAATTAACCCTAAGGAAAGTACTAAGAAGAGGTTGTATCCCCCAGACCGAACTAATCTTTGGTTTGGCGGCAAGACAGGCCTCACGGACCAGTCGAAAGAAACAGGGGGGTAGATTGTGTGGTGAAAAGTCTATTTGATCCTTGTTTCTTGCAGATATATCCTGGTTTATACGCAGGGGACTCATGTAACTGTTGCATTGCAGTGTCTAATCATTCTTCAGATTGAGGATTGATTGGTTCTTGATGATTTTGCACTCGACGGAAGTTTGAAGTCTAACGTTCATTGAATGGATTAGATTGGATGCCGATCCGCTTAAAGAGAGCTTGGTGCAGATGGGGGAAGGGTACACAAGCGACAAAAAGGCAGATTGATTGCGCTAGGGTCGTTATGTTACCATTTTTGGTTTATCGAAACGGATAGCGGATTAGATATTTGGGAGAGGTTGGTGGGGGGGTTTGTCCTTAATTCTTACTGCAAATGTAGATCTTCCTCTCTCTCTCTTTCTCTTCTTCGTGAAACCTTTGATTAGTTGCGAGACGCAAGTCCAACAGTTAGTTCTCATCCCACTCAGAAGGTTTGGTGGCTGTAGTAACCTTTTCCTCGGTATTCATGACAAGACATCCACCAACTAAGATGACTGAGAATTCAGATCTCCAAGCCCGAGTCTATGGATAACGGAATGGATGATTACGTGAGAAGAACTGGTGGAGTAGCCTGAATCCTTCGGAGTATTTTTCAATCAAGGTTCTGATATTCTTCGGTCAAGACCACAGTCATGGTTCCTATTCTTGTTGTTCCTTTAGCCTGTCTTATGGCCATGGTCAGCAGTCTATCCATTGTACATATTGCAGAATATGCTGACTACTTCAAATTTTGGTTAGATGTCTATCCCATTCAGGTATGAAGATATTATGCAAAGATCCCATCTCCCTTGTTACATATATATATGTGTGAACAACAAACAAATATTGCACAACATCTTGTAAAACAATCTAATGGAGAGAGAGCAGGAGTACATGGCATGATTAGACGTGTTACTACCAACCCTAATCAGCATTGAGGTATGCGATTAGTTTGACAGCATGTTATATCAAATCAGCATCAGCACCAGCATCAATGATACGCATCTAAGCAAGCCATCCCAATTCCCAAGATCCGATAGCCGCGACATCTATCGAAATCTATATCCAACTTGCCATGCTGATCATCTTCATCCATGAAACTACTTAAAACATAGCAAATACCAGTCCCATTAAAATCAGGCCATTCTCTCCCAATCCCTCTCCCAAGAAGAAGAAAACGAATCTAAAATCTGCGCGTGCTTTCTCCATCCCCATCTGCAAATTATTTTTGGCATCAAAGCTTCTAATATCCCCGATTGGCCTCCCCAATCCGAGCGCTTATGTCTGTCTCTCTAGTTCCATAATACATCCTATAAAGCCGAGTAAAATTCAGATCTAAGAGATCTATATTTATCCACCCAGTCTTGCCAAAGATGTACAAGCGGTAAGTTTATTGAATCGAATGGTATGATCAGAGCCAATGGATAGAATTTAGTAAACAAGATGTAGATTTTATGGCCAATAGATGAATTGAAGTGCCTTCGTTCTTTAGATAGCTGGACGATAAGATAATAGATGGCTCCACATTTAGGGATTAGCTTTCCCGGTATTAGTTTCTTGGAAGGAAGGGCCTGGGAAAGGTCAAGGAAGTCTTGTACATTTCCAGGAAATTAGACGACCGCGGCCAGATGACTTTAGAAACAAACGTATCAAAGTCATATCTCAATTCATACGGAAGAAACGGCAGAAATGAACGATGACGAATCCTGGAACCTTCAATGTATTAGAACAAATTGGCAAATTGCCTCTATTATCACATGATAGTACTACATATCCTTCTAACCCATTAATCAATCATCAAGAAGCCTTCCCATCAAATCCTTCCTGGTGCCAATCTCCATGCTGCGCATCCGCCGCAGAATCAGCAAGTCCTTTCGCACCTCCAGCAGCTGCAACCGCTTGACCTAGATGACTTCCATGTTGATCTACATCCACACTACCTAACCAATACAGAGAAAAGAATACCAGCAAATGAAGTGCCACGCAATAACCTGCGAAGAGGTTTCGACTAGTTCTAGTCGCTAATACCATTCTGGTGATTGAGAAGACTATTCTTTCGGGTAGACTCATACGTTTATATGCACGAGCCGATTCTCGTCCACGGAATGCCGCGAAAGGCGATATATTGGATTCGTATGCTGAACGGTATCGGTTTAATGCAAGTCCAGAAGAAGTCGATGAGGAAATCTGAACTGTAGATGGATTGGGGTTGGTAGCATAAGATGAGGCCGATGAAGCTGTTGGACCCGCTCGATTGTATGTTGATATATATCTTGTCTTCTCATACAGATTCAAATTATCCTTTTGCAAAGCAGAAATTTCCTGTCTAAGTGACGATACCGTACGGTGGCTTTCGGAAAGCTCGTTCTCCAATTCTGAGTTGCGCTTCTTGAATCGATCACGCTGAGCGGTAATCATGGGAAGAATACCAGAACCTCCCCCTACAGGCTCGCCTGATCTAAGGACGTCCACAGGTGTGCTGCCCATGGGCGTCCTGGGATCAAATCCAGATATAATTGATGATGTGGGGGATATCCTCCGGTTCCTCGACGCAAATTGGCCGATTGCTGATTGGGGATAGCGACTTGTATATGTTCCGGCCACGGAAGGAGCAGAAGGATATGCGCTAACCCCGTTTTGCATATTTGTCAAATCATTCTCTAATGTAGCAACCAAATTTTGCGCCTTTTCCAACTCGGCATTAGTCGTAGAAAGAGTTTCTTGCATCGTTTGCAAGCGACTCTGTAAATCTTGATGAGAAACTCTTAAGATTGTAAGTTCATCACTCAACTTTTTGTTTCTAGCAAGAAGAAGTTGCTCCAATGTCTCCCCTTCGCTTTTCCGGATGAGCCATTTCCTGTCAGTTCTGGGACATTGGAATTAGCCCCAATATCTTGCGTTTCATCGTCATCTCCCATAGAAAATTCGATACTCTTCAAAACTTCAAGTTCCTGCTTGACATCCTCATAATCGCTCCACTTTTGGACTTTAGTCTTCAATGAATCGCGTTCTTCTTTAAGCATCCCAATTTCTCTCTCTAGACTTCGAAGCTTGGTATCGAGATCTCGCTTTTTGGCATCCCTTTCAACTCTTGCTGCGTCTAATTTCCTCAATAACGATGAATTTTCGGATCTTAAGCGCATGTAGGCTGGCTCGTCTTCCAAAGCCAATGCTGGCTGACTTGGGACTTGGGAAGCCGACTGAGCTAATTCTATTCGTAGTTGTTCATTTCGAGCTTCAACTTCCGCTAAACGGACGCTTGTACGTTCCAAATCAGATGTAACCATCTCCAATTCCGCACTAGTAACATGCCCGCGACTTCCATCCTCTGCATTCTCGGATTGTCCCAGACGCTGGTTGACCTCATAGCTCGCCTTGATTTCATTCAATAAGCGCTCCTGATTTTCCACCTTCTCCTCTAATGATTTCTCTTTCGCTTCCCAATTGTCCTTCTTTTCTTCCAGAACAGCGGCCCAGGAAGTTTCGACATCTTTCACTTTAATTTCTAGACCTTCCTCTAGATTTTTGCGCGCATTTCGTTCATTTTCTAATCTGGATTCCGTATCCTCCAACTGACTCGTGAGCTTGCTGACACTTTTCTGAAGATGCTCGTTCTCTTGTGTAATCTTAGGGAGTGTATCCTCAGATAGCAGCAGGGAATCGACTGATGCTTCAAGCAAAGGATATGGATCTGGGGCCTCGGATAAGGACGAGTACACTTGTAGAAAAGCTGAATTCGTAGACTTTGAGTGGTTCGTGAGGAGATCTATAAAGGTCTGGTATGCTGTGGTAGATATTTGTGTCAGTAAGGCAATGCATTGCGAACTTTGAAAATATACCAACCTTTCAATAGCCCTTTGATCTCAGATAGCTTATTTGTGTCATCTAACTTCCGGAAGTCCTTCGTCTTTTGTGCCAATTCCTTGCGCTGCACGGTTGAGTCTCTCTGATATTGAACAATTTCTGATGCGGTATTGTCAAGAGACGGGATCATGGAGGTAAGATCGATTGCTATCAATGATTAGCACGAGTATTGAAGTCCTATGGAACATCAGGGACTCACTCCTCCATGCCGAAATTGCCTTTTGAAACTTATTATCCCCATCTTGTCCTGAAGCTACATGATCTGCGGGCGGAGATGGAGGGCTTGACACCGAAGCTGCCAGTGCTGATTCTGCGAAGTCGGTCATTGTAATATCGACATGCACAAGATTATAACCATTTGGTGGTGGAATTGGAGTAAGTCTAAGGTAAAATCATAAATTCTCTCTTGTAGTTATTATTGTAATATAATGAAGGAATAGGTCTCGTAGGATGAATCTAAGCCTCCAAGTATTCACAGCATTGATATTAATACTGACATGATGCCTCATCTCACACGCAAGCTGCAAGGTGTTCGTTAATGCTTATTGGATAAGCCAAAACTTCAAAAGTTCAGGGTGTACCTTGGCGAGTGAGCATCCCTGTAATCGCAGCCTTATTACGCTTCCCACAGGGCACGAGAGCCTAAACCAAACCAGACCAAGCCATTGATAACTAGCTATCATCCAATGCGCCGCAAAAGCAGCTCAACGGCCATGAGTGAGTACTTTTGCATTGGCCATGATAATTATAACTTCATAGTAAGCCCTTAAAAATGGCTTCAAATGATCCAGAAGATATTGCGAATTCAAGGAAAAGGAAACGAAGAGTTCAAGAAAATGGTCCTTATGTTCTGCGCAGCCTGATTGAGGACTTGCCCTTGTCTGCAGATGGAGATAGTACAGATATTGAAATTAATTGTGTTGAATTTCTAGGTAAGTAACCCCTCTTTTTGTATTCCCGTCGTGTTCTTCTATTGCTAAGGTATATCCACAGATCAGAACCTATATATTGGGACGTCGGCCTCGGAAATCCTCCACTTCGTACAGATTCCCCCGGATCCTGCCGACATATCTGGAAAGCCCTCTTATATTCTAGCCTCAAGATTACCTCCTGCCTACCATGAGCCGTCTACTCGAGAAAGACCCGGTGTCCAGCAGATTCTGCTGCTTCCTAGAGTCAACAAAGCTTGTATATTGTGTAACTGGACAGTCACCTTTTATTCCTTGCCGGAATTAAGTCCAGTGTTTGGGACAACTCAGATTCGACCTTGCAATTGGATCGGCGGCACAGACTTAAATACAGATCTGATAAGCCCTGAGCAAGATGGAAGAGGGGTCACAGTGCTTGTTTCGCTGAACAAGAAGATGAGAGTTGTGAGAATTGGGGAAGATCCTCGAGCTGTGAGAGTATGTTTAGTCGAGGTCATGCATAAGTGCTGGACTGATGTATCAATAGACAATAGATTTTGCAGGAAGCACTATATCCATCCGTCGTGATTCCTTTGCTTGTGTCGCAGATTCCAGGTCTTACGCTTTACTTGATGTCGATCGCCAGTTGAAAATACCCCTCTTTCCCATATCCTCCTCAGATGATTCCCAGTCTGGTAGCGTGGGTGGAAGGGTCGAGGATATATCCGGTAATAGCGGTGGTGGAATTTCACGAAACACGTCCCTGACTCATGGGGGCTCGTCAGATGATCGAAGCCATGGAAGGAGTACAAGTCTTGGTGCTTTCATAGCCGGTTCAGATCGTTCTGGGCGAGGCACCCCTGACCGCTTATTTCGCGATGCCTCGCCTGTACCTACGGCCAGTTCTTCTGGCCCTGCGCAGCGTGAAGCAAGTCCGGAGAAACCATTACCACCTCCGCCAGCTGATTCTTCGGTAGCTAGTGCTCAAGCACCCATATATTCTACGCCGCCTGTGTACTTGAAGCCACATATAGTTTCGCCTTCCCCGCAAGAGTTTCTTCTGGTCACAGGCACTGGTACACGCGATCATGGAGTTGGTATGTTTGTAAATCTTGAGGGCGACGTTACTAGATCAACGTTGGACTTCGCCAGATATCCTGATGAGGTTGTTGTGGATGGTCGTGGCGTCGATGTCGACCCCGTCCCCAATACAGTGGAAGAAGAAGAGGAAGGATATGTACTTGCTTCAATGACATATGAAGATGGTGATATAGTGCGATATGGTATTGAAATTCAACGATGGGATCTGGATCCTGGGGAGGACGTTATACAGAAGTTCTGGTTGGAAGCTCCACCCTCTGATGATGCGAATGGCAATGAAGTAGAACGTAAGATTGGCTTGAGATCAGTAATTCAACCAGGGGACATTTATTTCGATGACGTGGTCGACAAACTTCGGCTAAAGCGCTTTCAACCTTTTACATTGAAATCTTTGAACACGTCCTCACTATCTCTAAAAAGTGCTGAATCTCCAACCGCAGCATCACTGCAAAGAGTCACGGGCGAGAGGGAACTATTCGAAGAATCGCTTTCGCCAGGTTGGGAAGCCCGACGTAATGATGAAGAGCAACAATTCGCACAGAGGCTAGGGAAATCGCGGTCACGCGTCGTTACCTGGTCAGGAGAAAATGTATGGTGGGCAGTTCGAAATCCACTTGCCCTGCGGCTTGATTCAGAACTTGATATGGAGTCTGAAAATGAAGAGGTGCAATCTCTCGACAGAAAGAAAGCTATTGGAATGTTGAATTCTCTTCGAGGCCGTGAAGCCAAAACCGAAGTTGAGTTTGTGAGCTTGGGCTATATCCGACAGAAAATTGGGTTGCTTATTTTCATAAGTCTATTGACAGTTCCTGTGGGTCAAGCCACAGAAATGGAATATGGAGCCGCCGAAGAAGCTCTTTCTGAGGGAAGCCTTGATCCCAGAGTCATTCTTGCTATTATCCCTGTTCTAAGAAACGAGATCATTGAAGGAAAGACTGGCATTTGGATTCATGGCGGTGTGAAGGAGGCTGCAGATAAATTTATAAGAATCACGAATGGAGTTTGGGAAAATCAAAACTCAAATAAGGATGGCATAATGTCTGAACAAATTCTTCGTTTCTTAAGGAGACTCCTGCTCTCATGGCGCCGAAGAAAAGGCTTTGGTAGCATTTCAAACGAGACTGAAGTCTTCAAAAGTGTTGATGCTGCACTTCTGATTGTGCTATTACAAATGGATACATCATCTCCTCGCGGGCCTGCAAGAGCCAAGTCCATACGAGCAGAACTGAACAATCTGGTGGATCACGGTGTTGATTGCTTTGAACGAGCAATTTCTATACTTCAATCCTACAACCGATTATACGTTCTCAGCCGTTTGTATCAAAGTAAAAAGATGACGGAAGAAGTCTTGAGCACCTGGAAAAGAATCATAGAAGGCGAAGAAGACAAAGGAGGCGAGCTTCTCGATGGTGAAAACGAAGTACGAAGATACCTACTCAATGTTCGAAACCCAGCTCTAGTCCGAGAATATGGAGTCTGGCTCGCATCCCGCAATCCCAAACTAGGAGTGCAAGTTTTCGCCGATGGACAAAGTCGAGTCAAGTTCGAACCAACACAAGCTCTCGAAATCTTACGAGAAGGAGCACCTGGTGCTGTCAAAGAATTTCTAGAGTATTTGGTCTTTTCAAAACATCACTCGGAATATATCAATGAACTTATCGCTTATTATCTGGACATCGTAACCGACAAGCTCGAGACATCTCGAGAAGCAAGAAACACATTAATCCAAACCTACGAATCATACCGCGCCCTCAGACCTCCCAAACCCACATACCGACAGTTCATTACCGAAAATGTCCTCGAGGAAGAATGGTGGCATAGTCGTCTTCGTCTTCTCCAATTGCTAGGCGGAAGTCAAGGTTCCGCATCCCAATACGACGTCGCTGCTATCCTCGCCCGCATAGCTCCTTATACCCAAGAACTCGTTCCTGAAATAATCATCCTCGATGGGAGACAATCGCTCCACGAAGAAGCATTGCGACTTCTAACTCACGGATTAGGCGACTATGACACAGCGATCAATTATTGTCTCCTCGGCGGCTCCAGCATCTACCATCCAACCTCAGGCACCTTATCCCCCGCAACACTCCCTACGCGTGCTGAACAATCTTCGCTCTTCCATACTCTCCTGCAGGAATTCCTCAAGATAGATGATCTGAGTAATCGTGTCGAACAAACTTCTTCGCTCCTCGAACGATTCGGAAATTACTTTGATGTGCAGGATGTGTTGAATATCATACCCGATACGTGGAGTGTGGAATTGGTGTCAGGATTTTTAGTCAGTGCATTGCGAAGAATTGTGAGAGAGAGGAGTGAAACGATGGTCGTGAGGGCGTTGAGCGCGACGGATAATTTGAAGGTTAGTGCGGGGTTGGTCGATAGGGTTAGGGAGTTGGGTCCGAAGATTGTGGTGGAGGCGGAAGCGGGGGATTAATATGGCAAGATTTATATGAAGCGTAGAGAGGGGGGGTTCATGGTGGTTTTTTAATTAGAGACAGTGATAGAGAAGTTACCTATTATTAGTTTCTAGTATGTCATTTATTTATTTATATGCTAGCGTGTTCATTCGACATTTAACATCCTTCTCCAATCCTTGTAGTATTTGCCAAAGAACAGAATCTTATATTGGTATCAACGTATTTAGCCCAAGTGACTAACGACCGCTACATCTCATCATTAAAAGTGTAAACGCTAAGCGGCCAATTCGCGCACAACATGCCAAGGAAACAAAGAGACGCCCAAAAGAAATCTCGCTGACGCCATTAACCATGTCTACAGCCATTATAATGCACATCCTGCGATCAATGGCGATCAAACGACCAAAGGTTGAGCAGGTGGCGCCTCACGCTCGACCTCTGCATTTGGCCTTGTAGTTTCACCAGCCGCCTCTCCATCCTCAACAGCTCTTTCTGTATGTTCACCATCATTTGCTTGTTCAGCGACACCCAACTCTCCATTTTCAGCAGAGCCATTTTCAGCGGTACCATTTTCAGCGGTCTCCGCTTCAACGCGTCGTCTTTCTGCCTCAGCGGCTGCTGTCTCCGCTTCTCTCGCCGCATTATCTCTCGCAGCAATGTGTCTTTCTCCTACACCCGGAACTAGACTCGCCACAAAAAGGAGCGCAGCATGTTCTGCCCTTCGAATTTGAGTTATGAGCCAACCTGGCTGAGCTTGTCTTTGTCTTTGTTGCTCCAGTATTCTTGCTGCAACTTGAGACTCGTCAAGTTGGCCATGGGGTAACCGAGCAGTTGGGTTTGCTTCCGCTGCTCCATTCTGTGGTACTACTGCTGCATTTACCGCAGGTACAAGTGCGGCATCTGGTCCAGCTAGCGGAATCAAGTTCTCTAAATGTCTTCTGATTGGACCCCAGAATTGCTCTGCGATACCATTGAAAACTCCTGTGAGAACACCTGTGTTTATGAGAAATACAACTATTGCAAGTCCGCTCATCATCAAGAATCTTGACCAGCTGCTGTTTCCCGAAGTGAAAAACCATACGAATCCAATCAACCGAATAACTAACCAAAGCACATTGACTAACTGAAGTGCAACCGGCACCCCTGCTCTTTGAGCACGATTATGAATAGGCGGGAAATCTGCAGCAGGAACTTCTTCGTTTGCGCGCTGTCGGTTTCCACGTCCTATTCTAGCTCTTTGAGCATTTCTATTGCGATATTCAGGCAAGCCAATAAGGTCTCGGCCACCTACACCATTGCCCGGACGGGTTCTAGAGACACGTGGTGTATAGAAAGTCTCGGAATTGTTTATCAAAAGGGCACGAGGGCCAGAAGGAGACGTGAGTATGTATACCATTGGCTCCACAGATTGGGATGACGTAATACTGGTAGATGCTGCTGGAGTTGGGGTCAGGTTTGGTAAAGATGCACTCGCTGCTGGGTTGGGAGACATTGCGGTCAAAGGTGTACTGGGAGCGGATGTGGTCGCGGGTGCGGGGGTAGAAGATGGAGTTTGAGTTCCGGGTTGCGCTGACGGGGGAGTTGACGAAGATCTTGGCGCTGCAGAAGGTGCTTGGGGAGCTCTTAACCTGTCTACATTGCGCAAATAATTTTGTAGATCTAACGCGGGGTTTCCAGTGCTTGCCACTGGAGATGCAGGTTGCTGTACATAGCTACCTCGCTCAGGTGATCGAAATGGGTTATGTCTCTCGGGCGATCGAAATGCCCCTGCGGGAACTGTGGTTGTAGTCTCATTTATCGTCACTTGCCACCTCTCCCCATTCGGGCCGACACCCTCCCGAGTGTAAGTAGAGCTATGGTCAGGAGCCCTGGGTTGAGGTGTTGATCTACCGGAATTCATTTCGTCTAAAGCCGTAAACATATTTGGTTGTCCGCCAGTATCCGGTGCTCCAAGTGGTCCTACGCGTCTTGTTCGCTGATGCTGCGCAATTAGTTGTTCAATGGGGGAGGTATGATTCGCGTTTGTAGATGCATACGGATTTCGAGTAACTGTGGGCGGTGTTGGCATATTGTTTCCCAAATTGAGAAGACGACCAATCTGAGATTGATAAGCCCGGGTGCCTGCTTCTAGTTCTTGCTGTAGACGTTCTGCCTCCCTTTGTAATTGCTGCAGTCTTTGCGTGTGGGTGGCATGATTAAAGTCACGATGTTGTTGGTGTAGAATTTGCGCGGCTGGCTGGCCACGAAATTGAGGTGGAGGGGTCGATATTTGAGGAGGGGGTATGTTCGAGGGATTATTTTGTGTGTGCGGATCTGTAACTCTCGTTGGAGTTGGTTCCGGAGGAGCAGGTCGAAGAACGAGATGAAGGGTGTGAGTATCCAGAGATGATAGCTAAGGTATCGAGTTAGCAAACGTATCACTTATAAGTATAAACATATTCTCACGCTGTCTTGACCAAAGATTTCTAACATTGTTTGCGATTCCCTTTCAAGCATTCGGCCACGGTGAATAAGTCGCTGGGCCGAGTCGGTTGGCTTGGATTGCACAACCTCTCTGATCTTTGCTTTCAATTCTTGTACTGTGGTAGTTACCAACAGTTGGGGGAAAGTCAATGGGCTTGCGACCTCTACAGAAGGAGAGACAATAGAAAGAGTGAAAGTTGGTAATTTTGGCTGTTCCTCGTCCTTGGTGGGCGTGTCACTACCAGAGTCATTCTTCTCTGGTGATTGAGACATGATGGATGCTTGATTGTTCTGATAATTTCGATATAAGACCTTGCCTTTTGCGATTGGGTTGGCCAATATCTAACGCGATAGTCAGGTAAAGTGAGATGCTGAGTAGCTGTTTAAGATGTTGTTTCTTTCATAGTAATCATAAGGGTTATGATCACACACATATAAAGGAGGGTATATGAATGAATGTTGGCTTTGTAAACAACTACTGTCCTGCTGAAATGATTTGGACGATGTAAACGTTTAATGTGTCAACTACAGTATGAGTAAGTAAACGGTTATTATTATATCTGGTCGCAAGCTTCGGGATCATCTTGCTTATCTCATCTTATCCAAACGCTACTACCGGGGAGTGGTCCCGCTAGTCCCGCTAATGAACGAAACTAGATATTTTGGAGGCCATTATTGACAGCGGAAAACATGGCCAATAAATACTAGGCACATGTAGCGTTTCTATTGCCTCTGTAAAATCATTGTTTTTCGTTGAGACTCTTTAATTCTCAAAAGGCAAACATTGAAATGTTGAATGCAGTCTACATCTTCGCTACTCCTTAAAAGGTAACCCATTAATAAGGCTCGAGAATGGGTTGTTTCCATCACACACTCCTATTATTAATGATGCTCAGAGAGGATGCTCAGAATGCCAGCTTCCATTGCATGATCTAGCTATCTCGACTTCATTGTTGGGTATAAAGTATTATGGACTTAAAAGCATGTTCTGTTTCTCCTTCTTTCAGTCATCACTCTCAGAAGTACTTCCTCCCAGATCTAGAACATCAAATTGGTTTTCGATACCCAAGCCCAATCTTCTAAAATCGACACCTTCGATTCTACCATCAATGCTACTATATCCACTGTCACGTCTTTCGCCCTTGGTGTCTGGTTCTCCACGTCCTAGGAGCTCACCTACTTTCCACTGTGTATAATTAGCAAATATACCATTACCAACACCCAAAATGATGTCGATTGGGCAGAAAGGAAAAAATTGAGACTTACAGCAATTCTCTCGGCACCCATTCTTGCCCCCTCAAGATTTGGTGAAGCCGGACCCATTCTTAAGCTTGCCAACCTTCCAGTAACAAAGAATGGTACCTCGTCACTCCAACTTAGATCATGTGTCAAGCATGGGAATCCTCCAACGGTTTCAATGCCATATCTCTTAATCAGCGGTTGTACTGCTTCGATCTTCTCAAAGTTGATCTCAAACCCTGTCGCATATATGACATGATCAAATGCGGGTAGATCCAACAGCTCAGGAGAAGTCTCCACTTTCCACGATTGTGAACCCGTATTCCATGAGGCGGAAGTAATGTTTGTATGCTCATGAAGTGAAACCTGACCTTTTGAGATATGCATTTTCAGAATATGATGATATTCCGAGTTAACACTTCCACCATTTCTCGCCTCTTTATACATTTCCAATCTCTCCTCGTCAGAATCTGCACTCCAGTAACGAGCAAGAAAGTGATTCTTGAATTTGGCGACCCATCCAAGTTCCATGTCGAAATCTTTTACTTTGAGGGGTCCACGCATTATTTGGTATACTTTTGTGACGCCGCGTTTGAGAGCTGCATCTGCAATTTGGGCACTAGTAAGACCGCCGCCTACAACGAGAAGGTTCGTTCGTTGCCTGCGCGAAATCTTTTGCACCATATGTGGAGGAAGGAGTTTATCGTTCGAGCTGAGATATGAGGGTATAAGGGCGTGTGTTATGCTTCCTTCATCTGAGAATGGACAATTGGATGGCAAAGCTGGGTTTAGAGCAGCACCTGCTGCAAAGACAACAATGCGTGCTCGTTTCATACCTGTGGATGTTTGAAGTGTGAATACCCCTGGACAATCTGGACATTCACTGGGTTTATAATCGATCGAATTAACTTTGGACTTTTCCACAATATCGGCCAGATCATAACGAATGGCAATATCTTCACAGAAGCTCTTGAAGAGTGCAGTGCTTGGTCTGAAATAATCTGGTCGATCTCGCTCGTCTAGAAATGTGGTTTCCTGCTTGCTTTTGCCACTATTTCAGTTAGCGACGTTCTTTATGGATTCTCGTGACCCGAGGACATCAGAACGGCATACCTTTTCTTCATCTTCTGTTTTCTCTGATGTTTACTCAACTCTTTACCAATAACCCCATGAATCTCCTTGAGTTCATCATCCCTCCCCTCCTTCCAGGCATAGCCCCTCAACCCATCTCTATCTCTCGGATCCGGATGAAAAAACATCGGACTTCTTAAATATTTAATCTCTAACTTCTTGAATCGCTCATTCCAAGCACTCA